ATAGCGGACGCGGCCGTAGGTGTGCTCGCGCACGGCGCAAGTTACCCGTCGTCAGTGACGTCACGACGACCACTGTCGACCTGAGGTGTGCTGCGGCGCTCGTGACGTCATGCGCGCTGGCCGACGCAAACACGACGCGTTCTTCCCAGCGCAGGCAGCCGGCCCGGCCGTCTACCGAAGTCGAAGTGCCGATCGTGGTCGTCCCAATTCAGTCATTTACGGTACACACCCCGACGAGACAACACGCTCGCAGTCGTCGTATCCATTTACTCCAGGTAAGATTTTGAATAATAATATTCGTGCCGTCTTTCGTCCGATCGGTGGTCTGCTGTAGACCATCGTCCGGCGCCGTTCGTAACTGTATCTCTTTATTTGTTTCTGCGAGCGATTCGGTTTCGTATTGTTGTTGGATCATACGTTCGTTTTCAAACGCATAACCCTATACGATTGTATCAAGTGGTCTGTCTGGTTGATCATCAATGCTGTAACGAATTGATAGCGGCGGATTTAGTCTCGCCGCCATTGTCGGTCGCTTCAGCGGCGTGCGACGATTACCTATATAATAAATCGTCATAAAACCATTTTTGTCCGCCATTGATGCGGATTTTTTTTTGGTTTTATCATCAAATGATCGAATTTTCGTATGTTATTATATTGCACTTCCGCACGTCTACAGTCTCCGCTGGCCGATCAATACTCTCTGACCTTGGTCGACCTTCACATTGAATCGACTTTGGCGTTTGACGCCCGTTTATCCTCCGTGTGAACTTTGTCTATCGTTTAACCCACAAGTTGAGTAATGTGTTATCATTTTGTGCAATATTTTTGTTGTCTGCCCTTCAACATTTCGATTGCCCTTACAATTATTGTGAGTCTATTTCGGGCTTGATGAATTCACCGGGTGACCTATAATTATCCTACCTACTGGCTACATGGAATCAAAATAAAAATGTATTATTTCTGATTAGTTCAATTTTAAAAGTTTTTTTTTCAAAGTTTAATACCGACAATTGCAATTACGAAAAGATTTTCAAAATTAAAAATTGTATACATATCAATATGGTGTAGTCACATACCGACTCAAATCAAAGTCAGACTCCAATAGTGGTCGTCACGTTTCACTGATATAGGCCTTAAAATATGTAGTTTAAAATAATTACTTCTTGAATATTGAACTGTATCAATACATTTTTTCCTTGAAAATCCTGGTAGTTTTATTATTATTCAAAATAATACTCTAGTTTAAATTATACCTACATATTTTATACTTGAATGTTTGAACCGTTAATTACATTTACTTGCTAAGTTATTGAGATGGTACTTTATCTACAGACATTTATAAATATACTTTGTGGGTACCTATGTATATTGATGTTCATATATACTGAATAATATAAGTTTATTTGTTGTGGGCTGTTTCAAAATATTTTTTTCTGTACCTTATCAATTCAATTTAATCGACTTGATAAATTGGATAAAATGGATGGTTTTCCCTTTCTAATTGTATAGCATAATTTAAATTATTATTACATTAATATTTTGTTATATGATATCAAAACCGTTAGACAAATCTTGTTTATTATACTTTAAATATAGTAGAATATTAATGTATGTACCTAATTAATTTTCATAAAAGTATTGTTTACAAATTGTATAATCCATAACAATTAAAATAAAATTTATTTCATAATTGTATTCTTTAAAATCTGTTCAAGGTAGTCCTAAAGTTATTTGGCTGTTTTAATTTTAAACAAAATTATTACTACTGATATTTTCATAGTTGAACATGTTTATGTTTATTGGTAACAATGCCAAATGTGATGACCTTTTTCTAACTTACAGTATTAACTAATAATAAAGTTAATACAATTACATGTTGCCTTAAGTTTTAATATTTTTTACAACCATCATTTAATAAAATATTCATACAATTTTGTATATATCATATTATGTTTGTTATTTTTTAACTTCCAAAATATGAGAATGATATGTCAAAAATATGTGTCATAAGTCACATAGTATACAAAAATTATTTTTATGTTTTTTTTAAAAATATTTCTTTTAAAAAGTTTGGAATCTTTAATCAAAGAAGTTTTTGACGTTTTTTTTTGATTATGAGTTCAATAATAGATTAAAATTTGTTTTTGATGTTTAAATTGTCTTTTTTAACCTTTGACTTATAATTATTTGTATTAGAGGTACACCTAATTAGTGAATTTGTGAAAATGTTTTATGTTGTAGGTATACTCACTAAATCATCACTGTTTTAAATTGTTTGTATTAAATGAACTCTAAAATTCTGTAACTTATATTATAGTTCCCTGTGTACCATTTGAAGTTTTCATTCATTTTTTTTTTAAATCTTAAATTCTAAGTAAAAAAAATCTTCAGGAAACTAATACCCAAGATTTTTTTTGTTACCTTCACTGATTAGCTAGACTTCTACTACCTATAAAAAAAAGTTAAAAGTCAATATAGGTAATTAAAACTAAAATATAGCTAACCTATATATTATATGTATACGCATGCAATTTTTAAGCTGTGATAGTTTTTACTGTAAAAACTTAAAAATTTTCAGCGTTTGTTTGAAACTTAATTATTGTATGAGTTATAAAATGCAACCGGTTAACCAGTCTGGTAACTAAAAACCAAATCTTATGTAATAATAATTATTAATACATAAAAATGTTAGTTATTTCTTAAAAAAGGTTCTGTAAACTTCATCTATTCTCTATGCCTTCTGAATTGAAAAGTAATTTATCTGTCAAAAGAGTTTATGAAATTTGAGTGTTATAAATGTGTATAATCTCAGTAATAGATTTATAATTTATAGGTAATCTACACCAAACATTATTATATTATGTTGATACTTGTGACCTTGGTATCTACACCTTTAACTTACAAACCCAATAAAAAAATGTTTCTTTATAATTTAAATTTTAATGATCCTGGAAATTATTTAATAATTCTTTTTTTTTATTATTTATAATAAATTTGTGATATTAATTATCTACTACTATTATTATTTTTAGTAAATACAATATAAAAAACCAAACATGTCGAACATTGGTATCAATGGATTTGGCCGTATTGGCCGATTGGTGTTGAGAGCTTCATTGGAAAAAGGTGCCAAAGTTGTAGCCATCAACGATCCGTTCATTGGCATTGAATACATGGTATACTTGTTCAAATACGATTCCACTCACGGACGTTTCAAAGGTGAAGTTTCTGTTGATGGAGACGTTCTTATTGTCAATGGTAAATATTTTACAGTTTTAAGTTTAAAATTTATTGCAATATTTTATTGGGCTTAATATTTTTACTTATTATTTTTCAAAATCATTAGGAAACAAGATCAAAGTGTTATCTGAGCGCGACCCAAAGGCCATCCAATGGGGATCAGCTGGTGCTGATTACGTAGTAGAATCCACTGGTGTCTTTACCACCATTGAAAAAGCCTCTGCTCACTTAGAAGGCGGAGCCAAGAAAGTTATCATCTCTGCCCCAAGTGCTGATGCACCAATGTTTGTTGTTGGTGTTAACTTGGATGCATACAATCCATCATTCAAAGTTGTATCTAATGCTTCATGCACAACTAACTGCTTGGCTCCATTAGCCAAGGTTATTCATGACAACTTTGGAATTGTTGAAGGTCTTATGACTACTGTTCACGCTACCACCGCCACCCAAAAAACTGTTGACGGACCATCTGGAAAAGTTAGTCTTTAAAAATTGCAGCTTTTAACATAATTTGTCATTCTAATTTTTTTTATTATTATTTATAGTTATGGAGAGATGGCAGAGGTGCTGCCCAAAACATCATTCCTGCATCTACTGGAGCAGCCAAGGCTGTTAGTAAGGTCATCCCAGAACTTAATGGAAAATTAACTGGAATGGCTTTCAGAGTACCAGTTGCTAATGTTTCTGTTGTTGACTTGACTGTAAGGTGAGCTATCAATAGTACTAGTTGTTAGTTTGATTACAACAGTATTACTATTTACATTTCTTACTGCATAAGAATTGTAAATCATTTTTATAGATACCTAATACTCATAATTCAGTTCTTAAGGTATTCTGCAAAATGCAATAATGATTAGAAATTATACTATGTTCAAAATAAGAATGGTAGTTAGTGGTTAACTTGAGTGCAGAGCTTGTTCTAAAGTACCAAACTCTCATATGGACACAGTGGGGGATGCGGCTAACTGTTGTCACTGATTACCATTCTTATTTTGAATAGAGAATTAAAACTATATATTTGTATTGGTTTAATACTTGAACAAAACTATTGAAACTGATGAATATTCACTTATTCCTTACAACTCAAGTATTATTAGAATATTAAAGTTAAAATTCGTCAGTTTTGTTTTGTTTTTATTGTGTGTATTACTGTTCTAGTTCACAATAGATTAAACAATATGTACATTTTGTATTCTAGACTTGCAAAACCAGCATCTTACGAAGATATCAAAAACAAAGTCAAGGAAGCCGCTGAAGGACCATTGAAGGGAATTTTGGGTTACACTGAAGATGAAGTTGTGTCTTCCGACTTCATTGGTGATACCCACTCATCGATCTTTGACGCCAAGGCGGGAATTTCATTGAACGACCAATTCGTCAAACTTATCTCATGGTAATTAATCTCAATTGAAACAAGTTGACCGTGTATTCATTTATTATTCATTTGTTTTTAAGGTACGATAATGAATATGGTTACTCCAACCGTGTTGTGGACTTGATCAAGTACATGCAATCCAAGGATTAAACCGTAATTTCAAGCTACTAATAGTTGCGCTAAGTAACTACACATTTGTGTTTTAGATTAAAACTTCATCTTTTTTGTTCCCCTTCGTCCATGTTAACTGTGTGAAATTTTTAATAGAAATACTCATTTTTTTTTTTAAATTTTTAATAGAAATACTCATTTTTTTTTTTATAGAAATTATATTTTTGTTTATGTAAAAATCCTAAATTTAAAAAAACAAAAACAATTATATACCTACCTCGATATAAAAATAATAAATAAAACAATGATTTTTAGAAGACAATAAAATTATTATCGAAATCTTAATACTATTGTAACTTAATTAATATACAACAATGACAAAATTAATGTGCATATAAGGTAAATATTTGAAAAATGTATATAAGATTTGTTCAGTAATGGTTCACTTCTGTAAGCACCAATTTTTGTCGCATATGCTATTGCATGAGCAATGTAATTTTGTTCGTGAATAGAATGAAACAAATGTCCCATTGGTCCTATAACAAATATTTGAATAAGAAATTGATTAATTGATTTTTTATTAAATATTTACCTTTGGCATATACTGCTACATCACTTCCACCATGTAGTCCCGTCTCTTCCATTATACCAACTTGTTGAGTATAATCATGACTAGATGTGCTAGAGACTGCAGTTGGATCCTGTCTTATGACTAAACTACCAGAACGTGTGTACACTGGATGTTTAGCATATCCTATGGAATATGTTAATGTAGTGTACTTAACATCATCTGATTCTGAAGTTCCTGCCACATCAAGTATATTATTCCCTCGCTTTGGATATCCATTAATTGATAATAAGTTTGCGTGGTCACTGGTTACAATCACCAATGTGTCATCTAACATGTTTAACTGCCTTAGCAATTTGATTGAAGTATTGATTGTCTTATCAAATTCAACTGTTTCGTCTAGAGCTAACCTGGCTGTGCTTTGATGATGTGCTGCATCAATTAATCCACCCTCCACCTATAAAATTATAGTGTAATGATATAATTGAAATTTATGAAAAATACTATTGACTACCAAGCCTATAAAGTGATTGATTTTCATTGCCTATCATAGACTTCAATAATATAATTGTGAATCCTTTAAATTATTATAATATGTATGACTTGCATCACATTTATATTTATTTTAAAAACAATACATACCATCAAAAAAAATCCATTTTCATTTTTTGATATTACTTTCAGTGCTGTTTCAGTCATCAATTCTAGTGATGGGGTTCCTAACATCTTTTTATTTCTAGTATATTCCATTGGCATTGCTCCGTTTGTAAATAACCCTAAATAATAAATATAATCATAAATACTTGCCGAGAGTTTAGTAACTTATTATTTAATTTAAAAAAAAAAGAAAATGAAAACCCTAATGAAAAATATAATGTTTCTAGTTAGCATTTAACAATTAGTTCAGTGGACATATAATGTAGTAGTGTAGTACCCAGGTACTTTTAAGAAGTCAATAGAGTACTGAATTACTTTCTATCACAGCAATAAAAATGCATAATTTTAGTATTTGCAAGTTTCTCATGTCATTGATGACAACCTACATGGCATATACAATATATGACCACATAAAAATCATTACATTTAATATAATCAAATTTAAAATGAAACAATATTATAAAATGTTGCTATATAGGTAATCATATATATATATAATATGTATGTTCCTTATGTAGGTGTGCCAACTGCATCACTAATTTCAATGAAAGTTATATCAATTAATTCGTTGAGATGAGCGCTATAGGTCACTTTTATCCCGGAATTCAACTCCTAGTCGATGTCTCGCACATGAACTTTTTTCTTGAAAATGGGAGTTTAATTATTTATTTAATTGTGGCAGCCATTTGTTGCACAGATGAAAAAAATCGGAAGATATAAGGTAATTCAGCTAGTTATTGGTACCTAGGTATATATGAAAATCATAAATACCTACGCTTAAAATAAACCCATTATCTATTAATCTGCCCACCTCCCACCTAAACTACGTAGTCTAAGTTCCTACGTAACTAAGCATGTATAATATAACTAGGTAAAATAATAAAATAATACATTGGTCACTAATCAGTAGTCGCCATTTATTAATCTCACTCTGGTGTTTGGTCCCACAGTGATAGAGTCCAAACCGAATAACTGACGAGTAAATAAGACGAAATGTCAGAAAATAAGAAGATATACAATATACAAACAGTGAAACCTTTAAATACCGGACCCGGACACTTTCATTCGCTATTTGGAAGCACCAGTTAGGGAAGGTTTCACTGTGTACCTACTTAAAAAATTAACAGAAAATATACAGGTCCATATAAAGCCGTCAGCACCCATGACTTCTCGAATACATAATGTTGATTCAAACCATACTGATATTAATAGCTGAGAATTTAAGATTAGTGGTGCCAGGCTAACGGAATTAAAATATACCTATCTATATGATATATATTACACATCGTATTATGCATTATAAATTATAATAATTAATAGGTATAACAATTTAATTTGGCTATGTAGTACCTATTAAATATTTATTATGAATTTATTTATGTATTTTAAATGTATATGTCATTATTCACAAAGAAAAAATATTAAACTTTAAACAATAAAAATAGAAGATTCTTTTTTTTTATAAAAATTATTTTTTTGTAATCACTATAAATTATAGAGGAAAAAATATTATCAAAATCTTTAGTGCCTAGTTACTTTTTGATATGATGCGTAAAGCACTCAAGCCGACTAGAAAATAGTATTAATCATCAAAATACATTCGATAAAATCGGGAAAATGGAATAAAAATGTGGAAATATGCCCTTTTAAATATACATTCACCCCATTAACAAGGGAAGTGAGTCCAATCGACAGTTTTTTTCCAATTTACCTACTAGTGAACCAAGACCAGTCTGTAGAGTCCAATTTAATTTTTAGTCGAATCCTCGAATGACTCCATTAACCTTAATATATTTATAAAGCAAACGTTGGTAGGCGGCGGTTTGCATTTAGGGGTGATTGTTGTTTGTAAAAATGTATTGCATTGTGATTAGGCAATTTAGCATAGTGCCTTTGGACTAGCGATTTTAAAACGTAATATGTTTGGGTGACCTTTTTTAATATCCTAGCTGTGATGCGTTGGAGCAGTATTTTATCAATCTTATTTCGACTTGAAACACTCAGTGAATTCTACGAGTAAACGAAAAGATACATTTTTCAAGTGGTTAGATTCAATAAAATTATAACTTAAAATAAAATAATGAAACATATTTTGTTTCATTTTGAAGAAAAAATGTTTTCAATTTTAAGATCCATATATTTGAAAACATCACACAATTTAGTATTTACACGTAATAACTGCACTAACACTACAACGAGCTCAGTTTTCTATTGTATGAGCAATAATACTGCAGATATCTGTGTCATAATTATTATTTATTATGTTTAGGTTGATATAATTCAGTGCAATATAATATCTGATTTTAATCTTCATAATTAATTTATCATTTATATTTTGTTTTGTGTCTATGCAGTGGTTAAATTGAGGGGTGCAGGGTGACTCAGTCACTCTACCTCTGACGGTGGTTAAAAAGCGTCAACTTTAAAAATATAGTATTATTTGTGATTTAAATTATACATGAAATAAATTACGAATTTGAAAATTATTCAGTGTTGAAAGAGGGATAAGTATATGTTTACGCAATCACTATTTATACATTACATATTATACTGATATGTATTAGACATATACGACATACGTACATACAATTATAATATAATATAATATAATATATGAGACGCTAAAAACCAAACGGAGACATTAGTCCTCCCTAGAAGTTATTTTGCGACTTTAAGCCCTGTGTCTATGGCCTATCATACTCGCGCCCAAACACAGTATAGTATAACTCAGTATAAGAAGCTCGTCCAAACACATTGTTTTCATTAGGCGTGTAAAAAAGTAATTAACGCGTGCCGCTCGTTAATAGGTAGGTAGGTCATGCTCACCCAAAATGTACTCTGTTCGTTCCGTGTCCAATAATTTTATATCGTTTACGTTGGCCAAGAACTGATGCGACAGGTTGTTGGATTGCTTATCGTGTATCCACTCACGGATCAGATCTCTGCGGTCCGATCGCACGCACAAGGATTTTTCAACCGTTTCCTTATGGTTCAGCGGTGAATTAGCTTCGAACGATCTCTTGCCGCCGCCCATTATAACCTGTTTTCGAAAAACAAATCGGTACACTGTATTTTAAAATATAGTGCTATGGTGGACACGCAATAGCAATATCCCGGCTTTAATATGAAGTCGACTAAGATGAACTCATTCAGGTTTAATAAAAAAAATATATATGTACATTATCGTTTTAAATATTTCTATATTGTGACGTTTTAAAATAACCTGACCGTAATCACCTCATGTAATAAATTACCTATGACAGGTAAGTGCCAAGTGGTAACTATATTATAATATATTAATATATTTGTATACCTACTACAGCTTGCTCCATCGGCGTAGAGGGTTTCCTTAGCGACCTATATAGGTAGGTATATATTATATAATATATCACAGAATTGATCGTTTAATCAGAAATTTCGAGGGGACTTATTATATACGTATGACAAGAGCAAACATTGAAAATACAGTGCTTTTGTACATTTTTACCAATTGCTAGTAAAAAAAAAAAATAGATATAGTTTCGACTAAAATTTAGTACCTATGAATTTCATGACCAAACATGATCTTGTGTATGTAAATAATTTTATTTTCCATATAATATGTACTACAATACTACTATATTACTACAATATTGAGACATATATTTTGGGCGGTTTTTGCACCGTTCATGGGGTATTTTTTTAGGATTCCGTACAACATTTTCAGTAGGTATAAATATAATATAAATATATTTTGTATAGTATATTTATATTATTTATTTATATTTTTTATAGCAAATAATTTATGGCAAATAGTATACATATTTAGTTTATTTTTAGCCTTTAGGCCATATCATTAGCTACCGACTTATAATTATTAACTAACTACTATAACTTAAGTCTATAAGTACTCTTTTTAAGTATCTACCTACCAGCTAGCAGCTCTGAGTTCAAGCCACAGTTAGAATAAAAAAGTGAGTATCTCTCTGCTGTACATTATATGTTGTATGGATCACTATGTAATTGATGTGTTAAATTTGAATTCAATGATATAAAATCAATGTGCATGAAATACGATTCTGAGCAAAAATGGTCTGTCAGTCTATATATAGCTGGTATTAGGAGCTAAATATATGTTATGATATTATTTATTGTCATTAAAGTAAATTATTTTACTATCAAGTATCAGTAGTACACCAATGTCACTAATACAAAAGGCTGAATTAGTTTTTGCTGAAAACATTGCATTTGGAAATGTCCTTGTGTATAAAATATAATAATATATTTTTCAATTTTAACAAAATAACTAGAATTGTTATTCTTTGCCTAAATGGGTATCTAATTTTGTCCAAATTTGAAAAACTTAAAATATCTATAGAAAAACTGTGTTTATGTATTTTTTAGATTTTGTAGTTGCAGTATGAAATACTTATGAGTAACAATAATTTGGAAATATTCGTGATTTCGATGAATTTTGTCAAGATTTGAATTAAATGGATATAAAAAAAAAAAATTCGTGCCTATGTCTCTATAAAATATACAATATTCTTGCTAATAAGGTACCTACTACTGTAATATTATAGTTGCATACACTTACTACTAATGTACTTTATTCTTGCATGTTTTTATTACGTATCAAAATTACGTATGTATAGAAAAAGAATTGGATCGGTAGGTGCTTTTTTAACTTCATCAGCTCTAGAAATGTCTCTGTGCGCTACCACAGTGTATCGCAGTGCCAGGGTCTCCGAAAGTCACTCTACACCTGTGCCTGGATAGACCAAACTACCTAAGTCTCTTATATCTTACAGTTGCAACACTAACTACAACAACTAAGACATGTCTATACTGAACATACCTACCTAGTGTTATAGAGGTACACACGTGCCTACCCACCCGTGTATGTAATAATATTGTATTATTGTTGTTGTTTCTGCATTATGTCGAAATTTAATACGTTATACGTTGTCAAAGCATTATAATGTCACGCGTGATGCAATACAATAATAATATTATTTTTTATTTATATATTATATACATTTATATTATAAGTTTGTGACATACGCCGCCTATCAACGAATGCTTTTTTTCAGAATAAAAACGTATTCATGTATACAAGGCTTATCGCAAACGGACATAACATCGTATCAACGACTGTCTCTAGACACCACATAAGATAATATTATGATTAAAATATGATAGTTTTTAGCAATTAGTGCGGTAGATAATAACTGTCTGCCGTGATCCGAAATTAAAAATATCCGAATTCCAACGTTCCGTGAGTCGTTTGCAGACGAGATATCGCACGTAGGTAGTGCAGAACACTACAATACGACATAATAATATTATAATGATAATAATAATGGTAATTTATAATAATATTAATTAAAAGATAAATAATTAACGGAAATACGTGTATCAAAAAGAAGCAACGATGTGGAAAAGAATTATACTATTGTAGGTACTTCTAATTTAAATAAAATAGATGAATATTAATGTACAAAAATTAAAAAATATTTTAATACAATGAACATTTATGAACTTGAATGTTTACTATTGAAGGGAAATTATATTTGGAGACCCACGTTAAGCTTAAGAACGGCCATAGAACGGTTTAACAAGTTAAAGTCAGGTGCTGATTTAAAGATATATAGAGGCTCTGTGTTCTATTTACTTTAAATTCCTTTATCTAAAAAGATTGGTAATAATTCAAAACAGGCAAACATTTGAATAAGAAGTAATTAAGAACAATGTTTAAGGTATACATTCATTATTTCTAAGATAATTATGTGTGTAAAAAAAAGGTCATAGGGGGTTCCCCATATCAATCCCCGTACTCTCTGCCCATTATATTAAATACTTTCATCTTAAAGATGTCCGAAAAGTTTTTTTATCTTTAGTAAAATAAAGTTTACCAGAAAGTTACTCTATTTATTAAAGCCATGAGCATACTTTCGATTTTTGTGAATAATTTGTAGTATTAAGTATAAACATTATAATACATATTATATTATGCTAACTAGTCTGAATTATTTATATATTATACTTGAATAATTTTTTTTTATATTACTACACTTAATTAATTCGTTTTTAGTCTGGATATTATGTTTTTTTTATATACTTTGGAAAAGGGTTGATCCCCGTTAATAGATAACCTACAAAAATAAATAAATGTACTATGTAGTGGTCAGTAGAATTTGGAATTATGGATTTAGTGGTCTGTATTAGAGCACTGCACGGGCCTAACTTTTGAAGTCCAAGCCCGTCCAAAATACAATTTTACTAATGATACCCGGCCCGGCCCGATTAATTTCTTTTAAATATACGGTCCAGCCTAGCCCAATACGTTTAACTTAAATATATATTATGTAATTTGTTTTGTCAATAGAAATCAAATGATAAATTAAATTAAAATGAAATCATTTATCAATTAATATTATAAAATATAAATGAAGCCCTGCCCGAACAACTAATACTGAAGTGAAGGGCCAGGCCCAGCCCGAACCCGATTTCGGTGACACAGGGCTCTAGTCTGTATGGGACCAAAAGGTTGGCGACCGCTGAATTATATAATATTATAGGATAATATAATTATTAACAATCTCAATTAACTGAAAAAAAAAATTAATAACTTACCTTAAAATGTCGTCCCGGTTTATCTTCTATGAGCTGCCTGGCAATGTCCTTGCAGTTTTTCGCACCTGGCGGCATGGCGGTGTTGCATTCCCACTTCCGGTTCGACGTCTGGGCGTACAGGGCGGCGGGCGTAGCGTCAGTTATTCTGGAGTTGGTCACGAACCCTGCGAATGTCACATGATGATCACGATGATGAGTAATGAAAAAATGTAAACAGTTTAAGAAGTCATCAAAATAAATTCATTTTTTTCTCATTAACTAATTTGGCATAATATGATGGTTTAACTGAAACAATAATATTGTCGTTTGTGGTTTTATCGAGTTCTAGACACAACCTAATACCTAATCAGGTTTTGTTCGAATTGTATTAAATTTTTTGGTTAATATAATGGATTATCACTTATAAGCAGGATTACGTTGTACTGTGGTTATAATCACCTAAGGAATAACTTATATCATAAGTATAAATATTACTATAAATTATAACATAATGTTGTCGTGCCTGTGCAAAGTATATGAATGTATAATAATAATAATATAATATTTCCACTATTAAATACAATTTGTTTAAATTACCTATGATAGGAAAAGGGGAAAAGTAGGTAGATTGATCGGCTGTACATCAGGTGTCTAGAAGATCAATGTAATGGATGTGTTAAATTTGAATGCATTATTCAATCATTGAATACGAAAAATTACGAACGGATACGGCCTTAAATGTATAGCCAAATATAGGTATTATCATGAGTTATTATTGTCATTTATTTTACTATTGGTAATGAGATGTAAGATTATAAACTACGTATTATAAATAAGCTATAACATAAAATGAATCTTAATATTTTGAAAATGTCATAATATAAAACATAAAAATATTCATAAAAGTTCAAATCCATACGAAAAATATTTTTGAATTACATCAAAAAACTTTAAAATCAATTTTTATAATTTTTAGATTTTTTGGTTATATTATCTAGTGAAGAGTTAAGAGGAACCTTTCATCAAATGGTCTAGTCGTAACTATAAAAATTGAACACCACACATTTTTAATGTATAGTAATTTGCAAATGTTGGTGATATTGAAGAATTTTAACGGATTTTGAACTTTAAATGCTTATAAAAAAAATACTGTTATTGTGCATTTTTTGATTTTTTTTGATTTGTAGGTGTATTATACTATTATATGATACTTATGAGGAACATTGTATTAAAAAAATGATCCATCATTTATTACACACACGAAAAAACATACATCATTGTAAAATCAATACATTTATTGCTTCGCTCATAATCTAAAAGTATAATGTGAGTATTTATGAGACGAGAGAAAATTCTAAATGTGCGTTTCAATATGTAGGGTAAATTTAAGTAGGTATTTTACTACAGTTTCTTTTAACTATGTGACTTTTAAAGACTATATAGCTTACCTTTAAATTTATTTGATTTCTGAGTATTTTTTCAATACATTTTTAAATATTTCAATATGAGAGATGTTTGATTTTTTTTAAAATAATAATAATTCGCTTGCATTACTTATATTTCTAGGAAAATTATTCACTCACTATAATAATAGTACTGTACTCAATACTCAATACTCCATACCAGTGGTTTTCAAACTTTTATTATACACGGCACACCGTACACTTCAAAAAATTTTCAAGGTACACTGACCTTTTTTTAGATGAAAAATTCAATGCAATCGGTAATTTATGGAAAAACCGAGGCACACTTAGTGGATACTCACGGCATACCAGTGTGCCGCGGCACCCTGTTTGAAAACCACTGCTCTATACAATAATTGTACTGTTAACTATTACTGTAACCGGATACTTTACTGTGACATAATAAATCCTTTTTTTGGTTAAATTATTATTTATTCATTAAACACTTTTATGACTCCCAAACAATCCTTTGCTGAAATGTTTTTTTCAAAAAGTATAATATGTAGACTGAAACGGAATTAGACTTTTTTCGTTTTTGGTAGATATAGGCTACATATGTCACGTAAATCTGGGATTCAGAGGTTTTTGGCGAAAAAGGCCATGAACATTTTCTTGACATACTTTATTCACATGCTTAACCGAATGTCGACTCATAATAATAATATAACTTGAACATATTTCACAATAATAAAATATTAGTATAATAGTAAATTCAAGTATACAATTATAATTGACATCAACCGGTTGACATGATCATGTAACTATTATACTACACACGGCGAGGTGTACGGTGTACCTATACAGCTATACAGCTATACTTTTAATAGCATAAATGTTAATGTATACACATATCGCATGTGCGTGTATGACGTAGCCGGTACCCATATCATAATATCAGCTCACCCATGAGGCATGAATGGAACGTAATAATTACATATTTTACTGGATATGATAATACGATACAGCCATACAGGTATAGTGTCAGTAATAATATAACTTCCCAGAGACCCAGACCATAGTATTAATAAGTATTATACATTATTGTACGGCCGTACGGGTTATTAATATTATTATAAATTTAAAAATGGAAGATAATGTTTAAATGCGTAATATAAATGCGGTTACACGATACACACGTAGAGTGGGAGTAAGAGTATAGGAGACGCTGTGGTATACAAAAAATATAAAAAAAAATGCTCAAGATTCTAGATTGTTGCTCGGTCGTCACTGGCGAAGCCAGAGCGCGGTATATCGTCTTGATATCATTTATGAAAGTAATACAAATAAAGCCATAATTTTCAGTGACTCCCTCAGTACCCTAAACAACATGAACAACATTTATCAACCAACAGCATATTATATAGAAAAATCCAAAATCAGATATCCCTCCCGGCTTCCACATCCAATGTATAGACCATTACTATTTTCTGGGTAGTGGGTAACTATAGTGACTTCGGAATCCAGGAAAACGAATTGGCAGCTCATGAAGCTACCACCTCCTGATTCACTCCAAATCCACATCCATACATCTCGGGACATAAAACATCTTATAGAAAACCACACCATAAACCAATGGCAGCTCATGTAGCTAACCCTTCACATCAAACTCAAAGAAGTAAAAAATACAGTAATGCCGTGGCCAACCATATCACTATCCAAACGACAGGAAGTTATACCAAATAGATTACAAATCGGCCACACATGGTTGACTCACAGAGACATCTTATGACCGGAACTGAACTAGGCATATGCCAAACACGAGGAGGAGAAATTCTCACGGTCGAACACAATATAATTTGGCAATGCCGAAACTTCAGTAACATTATAGCCCAGCTTTAAATTGCAGAAAATTTTGACTAATCACTAAGTCCAAATCCAGAAAACAAAAAAAAAATGCCTAAATACTTAGAATCAACTTAATCGTACAATCTAATATTATACATATCTATTGCACCATATAATCGTACTATAAACCATTGTACCCTATTACTGTATAATTATGCCATGAGCCAATAATAACCATTGTTGTTGCTGCTTTACACGCACATATTATATGTATCTACTCATAATAGGTACATTATTATTATAATATAATATGATGTATGAATTGTGTGGCCGTTGGGTATGATTTTCTCTATAGATTTATAGTTGCCGATTTATAAAGCTAAGTACCTAATAATATATAATACTGGTTGTAATTTGTTTTCTGAGTTGCGCGATTTGACAGGGACAAAAGGTAGTATACCTAATAATTAATAATTAATATACTACCCACGGCTCCCGCGTGAAAATGTTTTTTTTGTAGGTAGTATCTATAATGATATTATGTTTGTTCAGTTTGTTGTTATAATAATATTATATTGACAGTTTATGGCGCTACTTCCAATACTTTCACCATACCTAAACTGGCGTTCCCCAACAGGGTCATTTTGGTCATCTCATCTTTTCCCTCTAAATCAATTCTCTGAATAGTCATTTTTCCTATTTTAAAGTTATTTCATTCGCCAAAAATATTAAATTCAACACGAAAATTAACTCCACTGCATTCGCTTACAGACCGACCTCATCTCCTTTTGTAACTGGGCCCTATGACACAGACTTATACTAAATCTTGAGAAATATGCCATTATGTCATTTCGCAGGAGCAGTTCGCTTTTTTCACCACTCCCTTAATGGGTTTTCACTCCAGTGGGTAACGTTAATTATGACCTTGGTTTTTACTTGACCCCAACGCTTTTATTTGATCATCCTTATATTATAATATCACTGTCGATAGAGCCTTGAAAGTCCTGGGATTAATAAATCGTAATACCAAGCTATTCTCTTTCAGTTCATGTCTCCGCTCTCTTAACTTGTCATTTGTCTTCTCCATTCTGTAATATACATCATGTTGTTCGACCGTATATACCAGCGCCCATCCATCTTTGGCTTGTGAGTTGTGACCAACTACGTATAGAGTTGATCCAAAACCGTGTTTTTATTATATACCCGCTTTTTTTCTTATAAAATACCCCCCCCCCTAATAACAATTCTACTATTTGATTTTCAATATTGGCATTCCTATCCTTGTTTCACACCGTATTGATGCCAATATTTGTTTTACTTCATCTCTTCTTAGAGGTACATTTGACGCTCCCGAACTATATCTTCATCAATCCGTGTCTCAACTCCAAGCCTATCCAACAAAGCACCACTCACTTTTCTACTTTCAATCACCACCTCGAATGATAATAATCATTCCATGTACTGCAGAATGATAAAATATTTTAATAAATAATTTTAGTTTTTCGGCCACCATAATTAATTATTTTTCCGTTTCAGGTGTTTCTGATTGTAAACGTATCTTATTCAATGCGTGTCATTAAGTATATAACTATATTACTTGTAATGATTCTGTAAACCTTGTCAAATGCCACATGACGCAAAATAAAATAAATAAATATACTAATATATTATATTATTGAATTGCTCTGTGGCGTACCTATAATGCCTATTATATTGCCTACAACGCATAGTAATAAGCACATAATAGTGTCGCCATTATGAGGCATATTTTTCAGAATTCAATTTTATGGGAAAATGGAAATTAAGATTAGTGTAGTATACATATCATTAAATTTTTTTTTAAGAAGTGAATGGTGGTTTGTTTATTGTTTGAATTAAAGTCGAAACATCGAATGATTAGACGATTAAATCATTTAATCATTTTTTAAATCTATTTTATTTATTTTCGTACCAGATATCTGAACTCTGAAACGAGAAATGCGATGAGAAATATTATGACACTAAAGGAGACACGGGACTTTTGATGCGAGGAGTTATGACGTGTAATTTTTATCAAAAGAAGTACCTAATTACTAAAAATTGAAATGTATTGATTTGTATCAATATACCGCTATCCCTAATTTTTACTTGGGTGGAATATTAATGAAAAACACAACTGGTTACAATCAAAAAAAAATGTATTCATCGTATTTCAGCAGAAGTTACATAGGTTTCAGGTTTGTACATAGAAAAACATCTGAAAAAGTACTTGCCATTTGGAATAGGTAGCTAATCGCCCACCAGAGGCCCAAGCAACTATAATTGCAGAACATTTGAACAAATGTCGACTTGTATCTAATGAGTGATGATGGGGTTGGTTTGTGTTTTGATAATCATGTTAGGATGTAGGATAGTAAATAATAAAAAAAGATATGACCCAAAAAAGAATACTCAAGTAGATAGTGATAATCAAATAAATATTCTTGAATTAACAATTTACTAAATAATAATATCTAAGAATATCTGCTGAATCCTTGACACATATTCCGGGTTTATCAGTTTTATGTATTTTTGAATGTAACGCTAACAGTGTAACCCTAACAGTTAACCAAAGAAGGAAAAAAATATTTTTCAAAATTATTATTACAACCTCAATTAGTGGAATATTCGGAGTTTTTTTGGGAGGGGGGACTCGAAATAATGAATTTGTATACTACAATTTATTAGGTACAAAATATTAAATTAATGTGTTAAAAGAAATAGATACAATGGGTTACACTGTATCGTAAGGAGGGAGTAAAAAAAAAATGTTCTGGATGTCGATTATTACACATTTTGATTTTTTTTATTGCAAAATGATTATAACAAAGAATCAAATACATCGCTTAATGTTAATACGATAACTGACATTTGACAACGATACATTATCTGAAGATGAACTGATCCATAAATTATATTATGTTAACTATTTACAAAATGTGTTTAAATTATCTGTTTTTATAAATTAGGAAAGGTTTTCAAAATTATTTTAAACATTTAATAAACTTAATGTATGCCTACACAAAAAAGTATGAATTTTTGGTTCTATTTTTTTTCAAACTTACAAGTTACAACTTGGAATTTAAAAAAATTAATCCACTATTGAGTGGTCGTTATGCCATTCATTATGTATAACACTATTTTTACATTTTTACAAAAAAACATTAAATCCTTATAGGTACTATTATTTTTTTTAAATCGTCCGAAGAAAACAACAATTCTATTAACCCAGAAAGTTTGATTTATCTGCAGTTTGTACCAACCTATACTGCTATACTACAGTGTGTATTGAATTTTTATTTTAAATATAATGATTAACACATTCATCTGTTTAACTAGGTATATTTTTCTCTATTTTTAAATAACTGAGTAACAACTAACAATATTTTTGTACGATCCCTCAAAAAGACGATTTGGAACGGTTCCAATATTCGTTTGTTTTGTAAATTGTATTTTTATTTCGCGCAGTAATTAACGATAAATAATCGAGTAGATTTATTTATTTATTTTCGAATGTGTTTGTCAATAATATTATACCCACAGAAAAAAATTTTTAAAAAAATTAGAAAACGTACGAATTGTATAAGTAGGTATACATATAAAATGTTTACGAGAAGCGTTCGCGTGCGTATAACGATGCGATTACACAATTAAATTGACTACCTATATAGACATTATGGACTTCAACTACTTCATTAGTCACAATATTTGCATACATGTCACGACCACATGGGTTGTATGTAGTATGTAAATAGCTGGACAAGCTAATGGAAATAATTAAACTCAAATTTAGCTATGTTAAAACAATATCGTTAAGTTCGAGGATTATAGTTAACAATAATAAATAATAATACCCTCGCCAAGTTCACATAAAGAGTATTTTTCGCCTAATTATACATAATATTATTTTGTCAGGAATCGTAAGATTGTAACATCGATTATTTAACGCGATTAATGTATAAAAGTATAAAACCATTAAAACCAAAAATGCAAAAAACCTTTATAAAATTACAAAGTTAAACAATTTAACTGCATAACTACCTATTGTGTTAACGCCTACGTCTTCGACAATATGCCTTGTGTGTTATATTCGTGTGTATTGTTTATGCATTGCACAGGGCATAATATAGTTTCATAGTCTTATGAATCTTCAGTTATACTTATAATAAAAAAAATGTTATGGTAATATAATAGATCACTGCATTGACGTATTTACCTAAAAACAATTTAGTTTAAAGTGCATCATACCAGTGCTTTTTCCAGCATCTTGCGCCCACGTGGCCAACGACGTAAGTCCGGTCCTCGGAGAATTGACATTGCCACAGTGAGTAAAATTGTTGATTTCGTAATTGGCGTCCAGGCCAATAACTCCCTGATTGACCTTTACACCCGTGAACATTGCAGTTGCCGAACTCGCTGCATCCGGCACTTGTTTGTTGACCGAATACGTCTGAAACGCCAAAGATGATGCCTCAAGTATGATATATTATATTACCCGACGGCCGACACAATATAATATTATATTATATCGTTTTACCATTTAACAGTCTGTCGTTATGTTCTATTATTGATGACTTTCGACAAATATTGTACGAGACGAATTTTATTATTTGAGAGTTGCGCGCAACTTACTATACGCATAAGTATCACTAACTTTGTGTAGTTCAGCCAATATTTTGAATATTTAAAAAAATCACCCCAACACGTTTCCCTAAATTTTAAATCACCAATTTCCTCTTGCACTACATTTACTATTTTACTTACGCAAAATGTACTAACAATTTTTATCTTCGTAATATTGTGTTCTAAGGTCCAACAACTTTAAAAAGGGGTCCAACATTATGGTTTACAATTGATTTTCTTTATGCATTTTCAACTCAAAATAATATTAGAAAATGTTGATATCTTGATTTTGACATATTATAGTCAAAATCCTATCTTTAAACATGTATTAAAAATCATTATGAGTATGAATTTTAAAATTCAGTTTTCTAATTTTTAGAAGCAGCAAAAAAAATTTTTATCGACGTTAATAGAAAAAAAAATTCAAGTTCGATACTACATACCTCAAAAACGGTTAATATATTGTTTGAAATTTTTATTTTGTGTGGAAAATGGAATTATCAACTTTCCTTGATAGTTTAGACTATTTACAGTTATTTGTTTTTGAGTTACTATAGAGATAAGTTGTGTAGTTGGAATATTCTGTACAAATTCCCGTTTTTTCTTTATTTTTCCTGTATTTTATCGGCACTTTTGAAAACGAATGGGAATTTTCTATTTTTAACTTTCTAGAACACAATAGGTCCAATTTGTTACCAGAAACCAACCTCGAAGTTAAAAATCGAAGCATACTTCGACTCATATGTGTGTACACAAACACAAAAAAAAATGAAAACACATCATTGCAAATTCAAAATACATTCATCGCTCAAAATCTCAAAATGTTTTTAAAACCGATTTTTATGTAGAACGTTGTAAAAACGTTTTTTGGACATACTATATATAATCAATACATTCAACTATAACTATTATGATATCGAAAAAAAGTCACGATATTCAATTTCGAATACTGTCCTTAAAATATTGAAATTTTTCGATTGAAATAAGAGGTTTGTAAATAAAATTGTGTGTAGCAATTGGATAGTAAATTCGTAACATATTAACGTGTAAAATTAATTTGCAATAATATTCTGTGTCAGCATCATTAATAACAATTTACGCAGAACTAAAGAAGTATGCATAAACAACATGACCCTATATTTAATCATGACTAATTTACTTATTTTTACGTGTAACAAATAAATTCAATTAGCTACTGTATTCGAATTTACATACGACCATTATTAGTAGTAGACATTTATTTTGATGATGTTTTTGTACAGTCTACAAAGACGTAATGCTGTTAGGAATTCTTGTTTTAAATTAAATCAATTAAAAATCGTGTAATTATATTGTAATACCTACTCACAAAAGTAATGGTTTTTAGAAAAGTTGCTTGAATATATTTTAATGTAATTTACATTATGTAAAATATCGGAACGATAATACAAATATAATAATCATAGTACATACAATAATATAATATTTTTCAATAAAATAGATAAGAATTATTATATTACCTATAGAATTATAATTTATTACATGATATATGATACACACCATTTTTTTATAACTGTTTGCCCTAAGTAGTAATAAATTGTAATTGTGAAGCGGTTGCTGACGAGTTAAATGTTGTAAATAAAAAAAAAGTTAAAATGTTATCAACATGTATAATAATATTAGAACATTCATAATACTTTTGTTTATATTTTATTTAAGTTTAAATAACAGATTAACAACCAATTTTAAGCTTAAAACCATTCAAATTATCCTATATTATAATGTTTTTTTTTCTTAGTAAACAATTAACAATATATTATGTAACGTCTCAACCCGAAATGACTTTGTAAATACGTCTTATTAAATACTTATGATTTATGGGTCATAAAAACGATCAGACAAAAATAATTTAAATCTTAGTGAACGACAACATCGGCGTAAGAATGCATTTATCAAAGACGCTAATACGGTTAGGAGCCGGCTATATATATATACAATTAAACAATGCTGCTTACAATATCTGTTAAGACAACGTTTCTACCACAGATTATTCTGTGTTTGTACTTGCTATAATTCTTCTGAATTGTGACAAAAGTATTTACAATATTATATACAGAGCGTGTGCCACCGACATCGAGATGGTGTGGAATTTATATAAAATTACTTTTTCTCTTTTCTAATCCTGCAGTAATCCCAATAATAATTGTGTATGACAATTATGGAGGGTTATAACAATAGTCAACAATAGTCACATAAACCCATTGAAAATAGTGACCTTCGGTAAAAAGAAACGACTTGGTAACTTAAACGATTTAGTGACCGTTTCCGCGCCTATAATATACATTGTGCATTAAACATTATTTTATTTGATATATAATATTACTCGACCACGAAACTGTAGTACAGCCGTTGTCCCCGTAAGTATACAGAATTATAACTAAGTAACTACTCGTTCGAAATCGTACCTATATATTGAAATTCTCAGAAAAATTCTACATCGAAATATGGAATTAAAAATGTTGGCTGTCATTCAAAAAAGTAAAAACGAAAACCGATGACGATAAAAACAAATATTTATAAAACGATTATTCAAAAAACGTTGTTCTGATGAGTGTTTGATGACTTCAAGTCATGTACACATTTTTTATTTACAGTTATTCGTTTGTTGTCTACTCTTAAAATACTCGCTTTGTATAATATACCAGGAAAATGTATTATGAGAATAATATCAGCGCAATGGGTAAGAGTGTACGACAACCAATGCGCCGCAATTGTGTAGGTACTCACTTTAAGCAGGCCCACGTGTGGAAACTTTTCGAAAGTCAATCGTCCGCTCTCGCCGTGCTTGTAAATTCTGGTGGCTGTTACCGTGTTCGGTCCCATCCCGTCGCCGATAAACAGGATCACGTTTTTCGCCACCTTGTTGTTGGCCGCCATGTTCAGAGCTTCGTCTAGCTCGTTTTTGCCCACCGACATCCAATACGCTTCATCTACATAATATAACAACGTATTTATTCGCACACTGTATAATACATATAACACGCACATGATGTACACTAAACGTAATATACATTATTGACTATATTATGGATTGGTGACCGCGACTGATCCATTATTTAAGTGGTTACATATATATCTTGTGGCGGATGATGTTCTTTGTGGTAAATATTTGGGTAACAGCGTCGACAGTGTGATCTACTGGCTAAAAGCTAGGCCACAGTGCCTAATCTAAAACTTTGTGGTCTTTTCGCGCAACATAAATGTATTAAGTTAAAACTCTTGCAGCCCGGCCGTTGTCGAGAGATAGGTCGAAATCGGATCAGTCTCTCGTAGAGATCAGATGATGCGCGCATTTAGGTCTGTCGCAACAAGCACGAATTTATAATCACCTGCGGGCTGTAAAAGGCCAGAGAAAAGTTTTTGGATCCAAAGACTGATGCCCATACCGAATAAATGGAGAAACCCAAGAAATGTTATCGTTAAAGTGATGGCGGTTGTCAAGGTATAATACATGCTAGTAAAAAAAAAAAGATTTTTTAATATAAAAGTTCATAGTACTTATACAATGACATTATCGTTAAAAAATTGAGATTTTTCAAATAATAACTGTGTTTTTAGGTACTTTTTTTTTGTTGCGAATAATCATGCATTGCGTTAAGTTGAATATAAAAAAATTACAAAATCGATTTGTCGAAAATGATTTTTAGTAAAAATTCTAGTTTTTCCTAATTTTTTTGTTTTCCCCTTATTAAGATGCCATTGTTGTTAGATAGTGTACATTTTTTACTTTTGAGCCTCCTAACTTCCAAATAAATTCAATTTTCTACCAGAAAAAATATTGAAGTTGATAATGAGCTATTATACGCTTTTTCAGATTTTACTGCTTCAAAACGTGATGACAGACACGTGGAAAATCCCTTTCATTTTAAAAATCAATACATTTATCGACTCGCTCAGAATCTAAAACAAAAGACTTAAAGGTAGGAAAAAAATCAAATACCTTATTTAAGCCTTAAAATTGAATAAAAAGTTTCTCACAACTCGTTATTATAGATATTTTTTAAAAATATTATGGATGCATAAGCAATATTTTTTGTATAAGCATTTGAAATAAACATTTACAGAAAATTCGTCAAAATCACAAACATCTGAAAACTATTTTATAGTTAGTGTATAAATTGTTGAATTTAAATTGACCGAAATATCTAAACAAAAATATAAAATTGATTTTTAAACGAAAAATAACGATTTTAGTTACTTTGTAGTAATTCAGAAAAAATTTTCTTAGGGATTTGAAACTTATATTAGATATTATACTTTTACACAGAATGATATATTGAAAACGTTTAGATTAAATTGTATGCTATTGCCTATTTTATATTTTACACTGTTATTAATAGTAAAATAAATTACTGCTGTAGTAATTGACAGCAATAATATAATATGTACTTATATGAAAATAGGCTGACAAACTGTCTACAGAATCGTTCTTCGCATGCAATAATTTATCATTGAATTAAAATTTAACACATCCCTTCACATCCTTCTCAATGGAGTGGCACCTAATTTATACATTTTTTTTATTGGAATTAAAATAAAAAATTAAGCTACATTTTTGGAGTAATTAAAGTTTTAATTTTGGTAGGGTATATTTACACTTAAAATAATAATTTGTTTAAATTTTTGTTTTTATGTTGAAATTTAAAAATATTAAAAAACTTGAAACATTCTACTATTGATTAAATTAAATTGCCATTTCTTAAACAAAATGATGTGTACAAAATATTTTGTCTGTTATAATTTATAAAAACAATTTAATTTTTTTAATTGTTCAAGTTTTTTTAAAATTATTAATGTTGATTGAAATATTTACATTTGTCCAAAAATTCAATGCATTATCCGACATTAGTTGTTAAAATAACAATTTAAAAATACAAAAAAACACATGCATACAATTTTTTTTGTAAAATTAAAGTTTTTTTTTTTGTACACATTGAAACTAAAAAACAGGTAAGTGGACAACGCTCTGCTGTACATTAGGTATTTAGTTGTTTATAGAGTCACTGTAATGGATGTGTTAAGTTTTAATTCAATAATCATCATATACAAAAATCGATTGTGAGCGTGAAGACAGTCGTCAACCTGTAATATTTTATATTAAACATATTATGAAGTATATTTGATGATATTATTGTGATTAAAGCAATTTATATTGCGTTATTATTACAGTAGAAGAAACATACATCATTGTAATATCAAAACATTCATCGTTTCGCTCAGAATCCATAATCTAGCTAACGATATTGGTTATTTTGTTGTAATTCATAAAATATTATTCATAGGAACTTTGAAACTTTTCCGTCACTACGTATACCATTATTATTTACTATTATACACAATTAAATATTCAAAAAATACGGATTTGATTTATTGTTAGCAAAGATTAGTTCTACCTACAGTATTACTGATATAATACTAATGTAGCTTAGCAATATGAATATAATGTAATAAAATATCTACTGGACTATTTTTTTAAGGACCGTGTCCACTCAGTGCAGTACTGCAGTATAGTATCGTTTTTCGTAGGTGACTCACATGTGGTATATCATTGAATTCAAATTTAAGACATCCAATAAAATGTACAGAGAGTAGAGACCTACTCAATATGAAGAGGTACACTCGACTCCTACTATATGCAATAGAGCGTCAGCACCGGTTTTTAATTAAAGAAATTTAAAAATGTTTGAATAAATCTTTATTTTTTATATGTTATAATAATATACATAAATTTATTTTTTACTTCATAGATTATTTTACCCAGTGACTATTATTTTCATTTATAGCAAGAAAATGGTGGATTTTATAATTATTGTATTTCATAAGATTAACATAAATTTAAAACATTATTTAACAATATAAACAATTTAACATATTAAGCTTATCAACTTATTAGTAAATAGTATAACTCCTTGGTTTTCTTAGACATCTGTGATTTAATTGTAATATGTTTAGAATAATGGAAAAATATTAATTGCATTAAAAAAAAAAACATAGGAGTCGCTCTACTGTACTTAATGTAGGTTTCAAGTGTACCTACTTTGTCAACGAGTAGGTTTATGTAACAGGTGTATTATATTTGAATTTAATAATACGTCATTGGACAAGAAATATGATTCTGTCCCACTTGGTACCAGCATCCACCCTCAAAGGGGAATTGAAGATTTGATTCATAGTATTTAAGTATTTGATATCAATATTATCATAACGGCCATGGTAACAATAACAAATGTTATGAAAATCGGTCAGAAAAAAAAGTTGTAGCCATCTCAAAAACGTATTTATGTTAAAAAAAACACATGACTTTAACACCAATACGTCATTTATCTCTCTGCTCAGAATCTAATATAAAATATAGTTTAAATTCATTGACGACAAAACGAATATTTAAATTTGTTGGCTTTAAATCGTTTGTATATAATATGGCTGGAATAACAAAATGTGCGAATCTCAAAAATTCTCCATGTAACACAAAAATCTGTACAGCACTCATATCATATATAATATATATTTCATATAAAATATATACTATTGTACCTCTATACACCTACGATTAATCGATAATTCGTCCACCCGTACCACGTGCTATACCGCTTTACCAATTCGACCAGTGTAGTCGGAATAGGTACAAGTATACACACGTGTGCATTTATTTTTATTTTTTTTAATACTTATCGATTTTTTATGATACGCGTCCTATATTATAAATTATAATATAAATACATATTATAAGACACTACACCTACCGATTGCGTACTTATGTAATAATTATATTATAAACAACAAAAGACATTTGATCTTATGATCTTATCTACAGTGTAATATATTTCTATCTTTAATTGAACATGGAAATAAAACGATAAGAAAAGGCGCATTGCAAGGAAAAGCGCATCGTAAAATAATAAAAACTTTTGTCTTTTCTACAACGTGTCCTAAGGGGAGGGAATTGCGACATTTGAAAATATTCCCGAAATTACCCCTCATAAAGAGTTAACAATCTCTTTTTTTATGTGTTTAATTTGCATTTAAATTTTTACTCATTCACTGAATATTTTTTAAAATTGAAAAAACTATTTAAATCATACTTTTTTAGATTAATTTTTCTTTTTTTTACATGCTATTTTTATTGCACTATTAATTGACACGCAATGTACAAAAATACATAGTACAAAATATTTTTACAACAATAAAAAGAGGAAAACTAAATATATAAAAAGATAATAACTCCAGGTTGTAATTTCATTTGACCCGAGCCACATCTTATTTTCAGTGGGATGCAATGTTCAAATCGCACTCGGATTAAATACAGGTTATATTAGCATTGCACTCGATTCGATCTATTATTCCACAGAATTAATATTTGAGAACCATAATTTTTATTTGGTTGTAGTTGACGATTGCTTGTTTGTGTCGATTGATTTAGTATCAATAAGTCGTTATTGTTCGAAGTTATACACGATGTAGACAATTAATTTAGATAGATCTACAGTTTGAATACATGTTTTTATTTATAAATTGTAACTACCAATGCAATATTTATGTACAGTGGGACACATTTGAGTATAATTTATTAACTATTATAGTTTCGTGCTTTTTACCTTCGACGAAAATCCTGGCTGCCACCCGGCAGGTAATCATTATTAGCGTCGCCACCAAAAGCTCCAGCCGATGACGACCCATCATCATGACGTCGGCGTGGCGCGGTCACCGAGGGCACAGGGCAGTAATCGAGAACTGTTTGACGATAATATATCGACAGTGATGATATTACAACGATAATGTTAACAATAATAATTTGATGTCATATATTATTCGTTCGACGTTTAAACAATTATTACTATAATTTTAAAATATATACGTAGTGACCTCGTAAAAAGGTGAAAATTTGTTCACGTCGTGTCCCGGCCGCGTAAATAATCAAATGATATTATATTATATTGAATATCGGTACTCGATGGTGTGAGAGTGAAACGAATTTTTTTCAAAAAAACAATCTTCTGTTCGAATCCCGGCGGGAAACAATGTCGAGGAAAACTCGCACCAGAAACGAAGGTGAAAACGAAACCTCGGACCGTCACGTGCGTACGCTATGATGATAATATTATTTATGATATAATAGTTTAATATGTCGTTAATAATATCGTGTGTAGAGGTACTCACGTACCACCGGTGCCACGCGGATCGCAGTTCTGTCGCGATTCGTTGGCGTCCGAAACCGATTTTTCGTATTAACCCACTCCAGCGGCGCACAGTACACACGCGGACGCCGTACTAGCGACTAGCGACCAGTCGCTAGTGCCTTCCACCTCCCACCATCGCCGCCGTCGCCGCGGAAGCGCACGCCGATCTGCTGGCCGGAATACAGGGGAACGAAAAAAAAAAAAAAAATTAATAATAATAATAATCTCGAGCGAGAATCGACGAGATCTGTGTACTCACCACGGCGATTCGGGAGGGGGAGGGGGAGGGGGTGAGACAGCGGAATTCGCCCCCGGGAAGTATAGACCATTCGTATTATTATGCAATAAAATACGTCTCTCCGCAGCAGCGGCTGACGACGATCTGAGGACCGATCTATATAGGACACAGGTATTAGATGGGTACTCGTACCTACTGTGATAATATTATATATAATAACGGGACATCGGATACTTAAAAACGTATTTACATTTTTTAAAGGTAACTCTGCTGCGTGTTATTCGGTAACGGAGAGCCAACAGTTACCTATTTTAGTCCGAACCCGACAGTATGCCTACATCTCATGCATACATACATGCGTACATCACAGACATGAGGTATAATATTGTAGAGATTTCGAATTATTACCTACCTACAATACTATATCACAATCCTGTTTTTTAAAAAAAATTCTAGATATATCCATTTTATGTTAATTCGTTAAATGTTGAATAATCACAATTATTATAATATTAACGTTGAGTGGTATTCAGTTGGGCAAGTGCTAAACCTCATAGGCCGGGGGAGTCAGGTAAACGATATAGAGGAGTGTACAGATGCATAATGCTTGCCTATAAGTTATGTAACACGCATAAGAGACCGCGGCCACAAAATATACGAATTAGGAAGGCTAACGAGGCGAAACACCCTGTATACGTGTGTGTTTAATTTTTTTTTTATGCATAATATATCCGCACACATCGGCCGTTCACACGTGGGCCTCTGCGCACTCGAAGTTTTCGGGTACGAAACGCTTGTGTTTCAACAATATTTAATAACATTATGTAAGGTATAGGTACACGCGCTCACACATCACATACCAGTGCATATCATTATATGTATACGTTTATTGCCCGAAGCATGACTACCGTCCGATTACACGGCCGACACTGTATAACGTATGAATGTGAAACATTATAATAATAATAATAAAAATAATAATATGTATACCTTTATTACTTGTCTAGTATCTATCTGCCACTTTAAATTGGTCGTTTATTTAGAGCTGATAACCGATCGCGCTATAATACACTAGCATGCACACGCATCACGGATTTTATAGCTTTTTGGCGTTTAAACCTCCCCTCCCACACACACACACACACACACACACACACACACACACACACCTCTACAACCATCGACAACTACTTGTGAGCGATATCTTAAATGTCATCGAGTTTATCGCGATGCGTTTCAATTATGTAATGTTTACAGAGGGGTTTTCTTAACAGTAACACTATTATCATTGATGAAGCATAAACGTTTTTTAAAATATTTTTTTACTTAATAAGAGTTATTTTTTCTAACTTTTCTATAACTTTAGACTAATCAATTAGTAGTATATCTTTAATCGTGTTGGTTTGTAAATAGTGTAATCAACTATTAGTGATACAATGATAGCAATATTATTATCGCTCAACCATACTACAAAATAACATAATAATTCACAATAACGTATATATCTATCATAATAACTCAGTGAACTGTGACCATATGACCAAACTGTTTACAACCGTGGTGTAGACTGTATAGAGTATAGACCAATCCACCAAGGTGTACACATAATTTGTTGATTCTGAGCTTTTGACTATTGAGTTTTTTTTCTTAGATCTTGACGGTCAAGAATTGACCCCAGGTTAAAAAGTAAATCAAAAAAATAATTGTATACCAATACCACACAAGTACACAACTATACTCAGCTCACCTAAATCTAATAGGATGCATATGATAATGATCCATAAATTATTTTAAGTTACTTGTAATTAGTGAATATGAATTAAGATTAAAGAGTTAGAAAAATAAAAACGTAAGGAAATCACATGCAAATGTTGTTTTGTAATCAACTCGAGTTATAAATACACAATTTTTTTCAAAAACGTTAATACTTTTTGGGTTGATGTGAGTGTACTGTGTATACTATTAGAGGAATCATCCTGTATTACTTATAATAAATTATAACATAATGCCATAATACCTATATAACTTGTAACGTTTCGCCATACACGCTTGGATTGTTTTCGTGTTTTAACGGCCTCCAAATTATGACAGTAAAATAACTTCGGAATTTATTATTAATTATAAATGTCGGCTTAATAATATATAAATAAGTATATAAATAATATACGAACCAACACTGCAACACTGACTACGACTCGCTAATGATCAATGTAGCAAGTTAAAGTCAATATTGTATTAATGTAGAATATTGTAGACACAGATAAGCCAGGGTGGTTTCCATAAGGATACTTTTTTTTCGTGACTTAATTTTTTCTCCAGTCGTGAAAAATACATAGGATAAATAAACCACTATATTTGGAGTGGCGAATCTGTCAGAAAGATTTTTGAGTTTTCACCTATCGATTTGACATATACGGTATACGGATAATGGTATCAACACTATACGCGGTCGACATCAGGTATCAGGCTCATAAATATTGGGCGATAGAATAAAAACAATAAAAAGATTCGATATGTTGTCCCGAAAAGGTCGTTTGCAGCGGTCAATAATAAAATATATTTTATCAATTATTATTGTTGTTTCGTCGCTCTTAAGGCGGGCACTTCATGTTAGCAGAGCAGTAGCTAAATATAAGCGACGAGTGTACAACAGTCATTATATTAATCAATACAAGAAACACAACTGCAATCAATACAACTATTACCTATACAAACATAATACTGTGGCGTCGTATAAAATACACACACACACACACACACACACACACACACACACACACACACACACACACACACACACACACACACACATCAAAGGTAATATAATAGGATGATTCATCAAAACTGCTCACAAACATTTATTCGTATTCAAATTCTGATTTTTGATGGTATATACCTATGTCTCAAGGACCATATTTTACATTAGTTGAATTTTTATGTCATTTAAGCAGTCAAATGTGGCAGCGACACTACCTTCTTCTTTTTTTTTTTAATCATTATTTTTCCCTATAAATTATTAACCAGTGAACTTTGTGAATAATTAAGGATAATAATAATATCTAGGTCCATGAAAATGCATTTGAAAGATGCGGCGGGGACTAAAATGATTCGAGAATAATATTAATTAATATTAATCTATCAGTATTTTATAATAATATGTAAACATTTTGCAAGAATAATAAACACTAGATTTAATTTTAAGTCTATAGAGGTTACTTATTAGTTATTATTCTTAGTCTATACATTTTAGTAACTTTGAAACAGTGAAACTACTAGTTCGAATTTTGATTTAGAAGACATAAACATTCAACAATTTACAGTAAAAAAGGTATTTGAAATAAAGAAGTTAGTACAGCCACGGAACACTTCTTAAATGGAATGAAAAATCTATGTAATTAATTAAAAATATTATAACCCTTAAGTACCTTTTATAGATATACTTAAAAACAAGAATAATTAGCAACAAGGATGAGCATGGTTGGTTATTTACATTGTATATATTATTATGAAGTGTTGCATAAAATATTATTATTACATTATTAATTCTATCGCCATAAGTAATATTGTTTTACTGCGGCCGCGGACCGTGTTGGTATATAAATATTACAACGAGGCAGATGAGACACGTTGAGGAAAACAACAGTAATTATATCGTGTCCAAGACGAAATAAAATATGTGATGGTCAAGGAACTGATCCGCCGTCAATAAATATTAATAATACCTAACGATGATATATTATTGTATTATTATTTCAGTAATAAAAATACGAAGACCCCGGACCCCGAAAGATTCGGACCGCGGAGACGGACGGACGAGCTTATTTGATAAATCATAAAAATATGCGAGACACTTACCTAGTGTTCTGCTGCTGACTGCATGTATGTAATAATAGTATATGGTATCTGGTCAGTGGCGTAATTACGGGGGGGATTTGGGTGCGACCTTTTTTTTAAGACTGGTTAACTACATTTTCCTATGTACTTCTTTATCTAATAATATATATATTTTTTATTGATATCAAATGCCTCGGCGAAATAATATTATTATAAATAGTCTATATTTTAAACTTTATAAATAAATAAGATAAATTTGAAATAATACAAAAAAACGCAAATTCTTTATGCTAGTTGCACATAAATACTTCGTAGTTCGTTATAAACGCAGCCACGCAGGTGTATTGGTATCACTATTGCAATGTGTTTTGTGTATGTTTTGTGTTTGTTTATGCATTGTGTAGTGGTACAAAAATAAACCACCGAGCGGTAAAACATTATTTAATCGTGGATCGACGACGCTCGACAATTATCAGATTATTTTATCTAGATCAAGGATTAACGTCCTATTCAAGTATATTTATGTTACTATAATAGTTGTTGTTTTCGTATGGCTTATCTTTGTGTAAGCAATTACAAAAAATAAGAATTGATTTGAAAGAAGTTGTTGAACTTTCTAATGATACTGTTAAACATTAGAGCTAATGCAGAAAAAGAGTTCCACAAACTATTTGTACAGGTAGAAGTCAGTATTATTTTCAACAACTAATAAATAATATGATGAATGTATATATTTTATAGGTTGATTTATTTAGACTATGGCTTTGGTATTTGATCTTGTGTTTGCTGTAAAAAGAATCACCAAAATACAAATAAATGGAGGAGCTCCATGTACAGATAATGCTGTTAAAACATTTCATCCCCTCCTCCCCCAAACATGACCAAATTACGCCACTGCATCTGGTAATTGGTTTACCGGTTATCACAAATAATTAGTACAAGTATTACCATATGGAAGCAGTGCAATATTTACAGGACACTCGTTTGATTTGTCTCAGGAGTTGTTTTTATATTTTCAATAACTACGGGTCTACTCATAATATTATTAGGTATGCAACGGACACAAGTGATTTAATTTTTACTAATAATTGATCGTATCTTTATAAAGGTACACACCTACCTATACCGACGACGGCACTATTTTGATTTGAATATTAATAATAACGGTGATTTTTAATATGGGTGAAAAAGCACACACTAATTAAAAAATGAAAAGCTTGAGATGTATAATTAAATTATAAACATAAAATTTGAATTTTTACATCTAGGATAGATGAAAGTCGCAACATGTTTTTCTCCGTTTATATTCGCGATGTAGTTTGTACGAAATACATTCATATTTTATATAATATCAAATTATTATACATCGTAGTGGTGTGAGCATACTGCAGCTAAGTAGTTATATTAATACTTTTTGTTTAAAAGCATAAACAAATTAATAATATTAATTTAAAAAAAAAATATAATAAAAATAATAAAAAAAAAATAAAATTAAACAACATCGTTGAAGTGAACACTTCGTGCGTACCTACCAATAATAAAAATCGTATACCAACGATAAATGCAAAAAATAATTAATGTTATATAAAGTTAATGAGAGGAATGATATTAATATTATGTTGCCGCTGACGACTGTTGGATAGAAAATGGCTGTCGGCGACGTCTTGGATATTACTTATATATCCGCCATGTTATTATTATTATTATATTATTATCGTGGTAAGCATGGCCTAATGCCCGATATTGAGATGTTCCTCATCTCTTGCTCCATGAAAACGCCTGTGTACACCGGTGGCATCATTTGGGATTCTTGGAAAGGCTGAAACAAAAGTAAAAGGTCGTGAGTATACTATAAAGACTAGAGGACGAGTAGGTAATGCATAATATTCTTTGCACGGTAGACATTGAATATGTATATAAGTATATAACTACAAAATTTAAAAATTTAAAGTACAAATACAAATAGTACCTAATAATAGTGATAGTAATAATAATAATAATAATAATAATATAATATCATAAATCATAACGATATACAATGAGTATATTATGGCTGTTTACTACCTATAATATATCTTGACCCTTATATGATTTCTACAACTCATTAGTATCAAATTGTCTCCGTGCAGTAATCAGCGTGCACTGCAGGTCCTCTGTCAGACAGGAGGCAAGACCGTAGCTGGGGCTCCAATAGCCCAACTCCCCTCCTATTTTTTTTAAGCCTAACCGAAGATTTAGAGGGGCGGAAAATCTTGGATGAAAAAAATCTCCCCCGAGCGCATGCTCACGATTGTCGCACAAGCATCGCAGGATATTGAGGAGGTTCTTCTATAGAATAATCTAGAGCCGAATGTAGCGCGTTTTTTGCGCACGATGGTTACACGAGGCTATATTTCGACATTTCGACGTATAGAATTGAAAGATAGTTTTTTTCCGGTGACTATCTTCACTTGGCACAAACTATATATATAAGCTATAGCGATTTACACGATTCTTGGAATTTCGAGCCAATTATTCAGTTGTGGTGGCAGAGGGGGGGGGGAGGGGTACTACAATGGCTCAAAAACATAAAACCCCACGATGACCACATTGAACCATATCCTGACTTAATATAAGACTTAAGGACAGCTGCTTACCAACTTCTACACTAAAGGCCGGACACGGTTACACCGAAGAGTGGCTACATAGTATACGACGAGAAATAACATACAAACATTATGATAATTTATGTTATATTATATGCACGCGTACCTTGTTCAAGGCCACCGCATTACGGGTCGGCAAAAATTTCGGTTGAACGGGTATTTTTTTATATGTTGTTGTTGTACGCGGTGTTTATTTTTTTCATTTTGCGAATTTTTTTTTTTTTTTGATAAATAATCCCGGGGCATCGACTAAACATTACGCTGCACAGTGGTCGGCGTCCGGTGCAGTTCATCTATATTATATTACAAGGAAAGAACGACTTATTCCTTAAACGTTCGCAACTCGTACACACTACATATTATATACAGACATGCAGTGGGCACCGGGGCACACAAAGAAAATGTCGAACCAAATATTTCTTTTATTGTCCTCGTTCTAAAGACGACTTTTTTTTTTCACCCATACGAAAAAATGCACACTCCATGAATAAAACAACACCAGATCTCGCCAAAAAATTTGAAATCCCGATAGTAAAATTAAATTATACCCATTCACATAGTGCAACGTTATAACGTGTTCGTGTGTGCACGATATATAATAATAATAATACGTTGACATTGCAGTACGCGCATAAAAGTAAACGACAATAAACATCACGAAGACAACTATTGTAATAAATTGTAGTGTAGGTATAATATTATTGTGTAGGATAAAACGGGTCGTATAAATATCTAATCGGCGTCTCCGTGTATAATAATGGTGAACGCGAATTTCAATGGAATCCGCAACGTCGAAACGGTTTCTTTTTAATTGCGCAATTCCACGGGGAATCTCTCTCTCAAATTGCGAATCGATTAAAATACAATATGCAAATGACTTAATATGTATATTTGCGTGTATCGAAAAAAAATCGGTTTCATCACCGCCGCAAATGTTTCTATTACGCACGAAACACAAAACGCGACGTGCGTAAATCAAATTGTGTATAAACAGCGAGGAGATGACTATAGAAATGCCTTGTGCACTAATTAATACAGTATAATAAAATATAATAAAAATATACTACAACTTCTGCGATATAGCGCGCGCGTGTGTAATATGTTTTGTCTAAGGTCGGAGTCGTTTGTCATTGAAAACGTGAAATTCCGGAACTTTTTCAGTCAGTCCGCGGCCAATAGAGACGTATGGATACCAGATGAAATTTCTAACTAGAAATCCACTTGGCGTCAGCATATATTATAATAGAGAACTGTACACGAGGCGTACATCCGTACATGGTGATCATTTTGTCACCATTCAATACCGAATTACCGACGCATTATTAGTATAACGCGCAGTGCGTATTCGGTAAATCGCAAAAATTGAGGATTGAGAATTTTTTTTTTCTATTTAAAAAAAAAAAAAAAAATGAAATAACTATAAGCCGGTTCTTATATACTTTTTCTGCAGGAATCTTTCAGACGACTTCTCCTAAGAATATTGTAATTTCAGTTACTAAATTGATTATAAATAATTCATAATTTATTAATACCGATTAATATTATCAATGGCCCATTAAAACGTTTGATTGTGTGGCCCTCGATAATTATGTACTTTTATATAATAGGTAATAGCAAGGCTTTTGCGGTATAATACCACATTATTGTATTATATAAATAATTGGATTTTAACTAGCAATTAAAGATTGAGTCCGACGTACGCACCATTCTTCCCATTATACTACCTATAATATTATGCCGGTGTGTTGAGTGTTATATAATATCATCCAATTATGAAGGCCTATGGGTATGTATTATGATAAGAAAAACTAAAAAAATTTCAGTCCGACGCCGAATCCACCACACCCTCGAACACGCATATATGCCTAAATATACAATAAGTATAGGTACTATACCCACCACTTACCAGTTACCACGTATAATTGTAGGAACGTTTAATTATGATCGATTGACAGATAAGGCGTTTTGTTTTTTATGCTCCTTTTATACGAATAGAATCATGCTCACGGGTAAATTTGCAGGACGGCATTCATATTGTATAAATTACAACAAATACCTATTCCTATATAATATATGCATTAAGTCTGCATATATTTTGGAATCTCGAGATAAGCAATAATAGAAATGGATATTGTTTTGTCGACATGCGGCGTAATTGGACCGCTCAGCGTTAACTATATTGATTAGGTAGGTACAAAAATTATTATTCTATTTTTCAACTTCAATTTTAATTTTACACCGATACAATATCTAAATGATTTTAAGCACAATGACCACATTGTACTATCGCAGTGACGCATTCTGTCCGATTGACAAACGATGTGTTTATACATTAATTACATGCCTAGATGTGTTTCACAGACGTTTTGCAACATTGTAATACTATATTATATTATTTAGCAGTGGAAATGTAAAATCATTTTATATCTTTCACTATTATCTCTATATTGATGTGTGATATCTTGAAATTTCCAACGACAACTGTTATACGAATAACATAACTATATAACATGATAATATGATATGAATAGGATGATGAAAATAAATTCGATTGTAATTCACGAGACGTTTAGGTATTTAATGTTTTTTATAATAATTTTATATCCTTTTCACTATTTACAATGTCTTATCTCACAAGTATTTTCGATTCGCATATTATTATATTTGTTGCGCAGTAGTGCAGTTCAAATTACAAGATTATGATATTATATTATGTAAGTAAAAGGTAAAAATGGATGTCATTTACATACCTACAACGGAATGCAAATATTAAGGTCGCGATGGATAACAATAATATTATACTGTTTAAAACGATGTCTGAGCACCGTTTGATTTTACTCTCCGACCCATCACACACACATAGCCATCAACTTTTTTGTAGATTACCTACTATTTATTACTGTTCTCACTTTAGAGCGCACTTGCTACTGAACTTGAAGTTAAGAACGTCATCTGCGTTCTTACGTTGGGTTTTCTACGATATTTAAATTTTTTGAATTTTTGTATTTTCAAACCGTAACATTTTATACTCTCGAAATTCGAGTGTGAAATTCAAACATCGTGAAAAATGTCGCCACAGATAATGTTCTTAACTCTAAGTTTCCCCGTTATACTAAAGCCAACGACACAATACTAGGGTTGGCTCTGCTGAACGTCAAAATGCCATGTTGTGCAGATAGAGAAAGAGAGAAAAACAAAATTATGTAGTTCGCCGACCATATCCTCTCTTCTATATACGGGCAACGGCGATGATGGCGTTATCCTACGAAACGAACAAGACGAAAATCCTATGACCGATCACAGCAGTGGTTCGTTGACATACGGTTGCGCGTCTAGTTGATCGCTCTGTATCTTGTACATCACGTGCACCGCGCGATGTATAATAATAATATGATAATATGCCATCTAAATATATACGAATTCAATACCCGTGTAGGCGCGACATATGGTCGAAACATATTATGCGCATTGTGAAAAGGAGTAAAGAACAAAGCAACAATATAATTAGAAATATAACCGGAGACAAAAAAAAAAAAACACGATTAGCATTGAGTTATATGGCGCAAAAAATAACCCCAATATAAAACGATAAAAACGTCAACGAGAATAGCGCGCAATAATGCGAATTACGATTTATCTATCGCGAAACATTGCTGCAGAAAACACGTTTTCGGTGTGCTAATTTATTATACATATATACGCTATATATTTTGTTCCTTTGTTTAATTATTGAAAGTGTATAATATAATATTATTGTATATATATATATATATAATATATATAGCCGGGTCCTGTGCGCTCAAAACGACGATGAATAAAAAATATGATTCTGTTTTTAAGCACATACCTATATAGGATTCGGGATCTATCTGATCTCGGTAACTGCAGCTCATAGTGCGTGCCGACAAATGCGAATTTTGTCCCACCGGCGTCGTGTAATAATTGTATGGTTGCGTGTGCGATTAAAATATATTCTACGTCCATTGTACGCGGTGATGCGAAAAATGTTGTCGTGAGAGTACTATGCCCAACTATACTATATGCGCTTTGTATGAATATAATAAAATATAATATAAATTGTATAATACATACATCGGGTGATTCTTTCGACGAGCGGCACTCATTAATTCGAAAACTAATACAATCGTATTTTGAATTTGTTTTGCTGTGTATGATTTGAAGTCATTGCAAACCAACGTTTTCCAGAGTAAAACTTATTTTTAACCGATTTGTCTAACAGGTTTTATTTTTCAAAGTTTTTACGTTTTTTGAATCACAACCCACTATGATATTGTTAATTTCCTAGTCTGAATCTAAGTATTTATCTGACTATTTCGATTTTTACAAATTGATTTTCGAAAGAGTATATAGATTATATATTTTTAACACCTCTACATGTTAAAAGTTGAGGTATGCTCGAAGCGTGCTGGGGAGTGGCACAGGGGTAGGGTACTCCTCAAAACGTTGGTCCAATCCTCAACACTCTTATTTAACTATTTGTTTAACATTCGATTTTTATTTAATGAAAATCTTAGGAAAATATTCTGTTTGTTGTCATTAAAAAAAATTAAAACATCAAAAGTGATAACGATAAAAAAATAATAGGCACAACATGTATTTTAAAAACGTTGTTTTGTTACATAGTTTTAGACGTAGTAAAGAATTAATTTAAAAAAATTTAATAGTTTGCGAAATAAGGAACCAATGTCCTGCCTCAAAAAAATCACCCTGTAGATAGATATATACATGGACGACTACCTATTTGGATATGCCTTCAAGTATGTGCTGTAGAAGAGAAACCGTGGTACGTGCAGCGTTATTAACGTGATCCGGATCCACCGTTTAGGTCTTTGATTAAATATTTAATTACATATTTTTTTTCCACGTACCTTGTACACCGATTATAATATATGTGCATTAGAATAATAACCTTTCATCGTGACGGCGGTCGACCACAGCGCGCTATCAAATTTCGTTTTGTCTGTGTATTTATGTTGTCATGTAGAACATAATCTCTATGTATAAAGGAAAGTTACTTTAGCAATAATCAATCCGAATCAATAAACCGAATCTATTTGAGTTATCCAATTGAAATTTTGAGGATGGATTAATATTATAACGTCAAGTTCCGCAAGGATTTTCCAAAATTTTGATTTTAAAGGGTTGAAATCGGCAAAAATAAATTGTTTACGTACAAATTGTATATTTTACAGCACGGCAACTATTGGCTTTCCATAGTGACATGCAACCATAACTTTTTGTCAGTCTAACTATGTGTTTGTTCAGCGTGTGGATATGAATTGTTCCGAGAAGTAAAATTCTACAATCCATCTTTATCTATCTATGTTTATACAAATAAATCCCTATTTCCCTTAGTCGAGGCATCACGCTTATCGCTTATCATTTAAAACTGATTCAATGTATCTTCTACTATGATATAAAACAATTAATTTATAATTTTTTAGTGATCATTTTACAGTGGAATCAATCGGAAGATGAATGAAAAATTTTACAGTGAGTACTATAAGAGTGTGTATAGGGTACACAATTCGCACGTTTATTTTAATTAATAACTAATTTTCCTCTCAACTTTATTAATTTTTTAGTAGCACTTGGTATTTTTTTTTTTTTTGTGACTATTGGTTAATTAACAAAATATTTTTCAATTGAACCAATAAAATCTGAGATATCTATATACATATAGGAAACCGCCCCTATAATAATCGATCCCTAATAATAATAAATAAATGATTTTGGTTTTCTAACCATAGTAATAAGTATACAATTGTGTCCCGAGTAAGCGATATTTTAATTTGGTACAGACCTTGATATACTCGGATAGACAGGCTGTCCGGCTGGACTCCCTCATGTACGCGTTAAAAGTGTGCCTGGGCGTCCAGTCGTCCATGCTAGTGGTCGGTATGATCATGACATTTTCGACGCGACGACGCTGGAACTGGGCGTGCAGCGCCAACATGCCACTGTAGCTCTGGTCGACGAACACGACCACCCGGCGAGCGGAACAGTGTGATATGTCGTGCAGGAACTCCTTGGACGTATAGATCTCGTCGCTTTCCACCTGTGGAATCAAGAATATGATATTATAACAGGTGCAAAATACTTATATTATGCACAATACTGCACGCACAATATGCAAAGCCCTTCAGTTAGTAGTTAGTAGTTACACAAATCAATAGGAAGTTAGGTTAGGTTGGGTGCCTTCCTATTACATAACATTATATCTACTATCCTGTTTAGTATATATTTTGTCTATTAGTATATTATAACTCGGAAACTACTCCTTCGAATTTTGATTTGGTATTTGGTATGCAAATTCAAAGTATTTAAAAATATGGTCTTTAGCTGTAGTTGAAAATTTTGATAATCAGAATTTGAATAAATGTGTTATTATTAAATAATATAATATAATATAAGCGCAATGTATTTTATAAATAATATCATATTTTGAGGAAAAAACTATCCGGTTGAGACTTTTTTATGGTAATTAGGAAATTTCATTACAAATTAATCAGTTCAAATAAATTAAAGAAATATATATACGTAATGCGTCACAAGTTTTGATTTAGTTAAAAAAAATTTTTAGGGTAATTTAATTGCATATTTGAATATTTCTAATTAAATAATAATAAAATATGCTAATAAATGCATTATACATCAATAACATAATTATAAAAAATATTGATTTCTACGGTTTATGGGGAAAAAAGCATTAAAAGCAAACGTATAATATTATCTGTGTTGTTAGCTAGTAAAGAAAACATACGTTTGATTGGTTTTAATTGAATTTTAGATTCTGAGCGACAAGATGCGAGGAATGTATTAGGTTTACGATTCGACTTGAGTGTGTTTTTTTTGTACCATCGTGTATTGGAGCAGAAAACGTACTTCTAAAAACCTAACAAAAGACAGTGGGAAAACTGAAATCATTATGAAACACCAGTTTTTTATAAAAATCGATTTTTTCATTCTGTTTCGACTCAGAAAGGATTTATAAATTTAGAACCATAGAAAATGGCATAATATTTCAAATATTGGATAATACTATAATCGTGATATTAACTTCTATAAGCCGCATGCGATTTTTTCGACAAAAGTTTGTTCAACCTGACACCTGCTAGTGCTTAGAAAATACTTATATATGAAACCATTACAAGGGATAAAAAAATAAACTTTGGAGAGTCAATACATTTATTGCTCCTCTTATAGAATCTAAAATCATACACATGTTTTCGCCAACCGGTATATTTTAAATTAGTAATTATAGATTGATTCCTATTTAATGAATATTATAGGTGGTACGAATAGTACGATGTGGTTCGTCGCCTTGAGTAAAAAGGTCCTTTTTGGAACTCCGTATTCAATAATCAATTTTTTAAAACAAAAATGGCTATCACAAATAAAAACATTAAAAATTAGTACATTTAATTCAATAGTTTATGTATTCTTTAATCTATTAATTTGCCTAATTATTAATTTCAAACGCTATCCCAAAAGTATTATCATATGTGCGGAAAAGGGAATCAGCCAATTTATGATTTGATGAAAAATTGAATCAGCGGAAAATTAAAATGCACCTAATAATATCGTAGAGTTCTGAGTTGTAATCGAGTATAATTAATATGTGTTTTAAATGATAAATTATCCAATTATTAAACATATATGTTGTAAAAGTGGTGGCGCTTTATAGGTTCACATACTTATAGTTAATTTAAGTATTTATGCACAACCACACGACGTGAATGGTCGAAACGAGCATCTTATTTTGCCGATTAAAACCTGGTTTCTATGGAAACAAAACGGAATGTGCTGTGGAAACAGTGGGAAAGAAGATTCCACATACTTGGAACAGTTGAAACACATATTATTAAAACAAGCTGAAGACTTCCATGAAAATATTTTAATGTACTCGTTATATAGGATACAGATCTTTATCTATACTTTTTCGGGGTTAGTAGATAATAAATAATAAAATAATTGTTACTTGATATCGATATAGTATTTTATAATTTAATATTTACGCATTTAATGTATACAAATGTGTATAGTAGTAAAAGTAATGTGCTGTATATCCACACGACATCGAACGACACGACTATAAAATAGTTGCGTAGAATCAAATATATTATAATTTATTTTAAATTTCAAATCAATTTTTATGCTGCCGTGATAAGAATATAATTGCTCCAAAAGTCCTTTGAGAATCGTATTTATTTATAAGGTATATGTCCCATAAGAACATTGATTATTATTATAATCCATATAAAATATATTACAAGTCATACAACTTTATCATTCTAAGCTACATTTTATGTCAAAATTAACATAAAATTCTGTTTATGTTCCACGTTTTATGTCTTATAATTTTATAATTTATGCCCAAAAATAATATCTATAATAGTATTCAGCCGAACGCTCTTTTCAGACCTTGGAATGAATAAGTTAAAAATGTATGAAATACAAATGAATTGATTTATTTTTTGTTTTCTATCAATTTATTCTAAACTTCGTTTATATTTTTAATGAATTTTAATTAATGACTTTAATAGCCTATTGACTATTTCGATTAGATATTTGTTTTTTTAACTTCTGCTATGATTTATTCAATATAACACTTCATAGTTTCATTTATGGCTCAGCTTAGTTTTTACTTATTTTTAATCTCGATACTATTTGTGTTTGACCTATAATTTAAAACCGTAGTTTCTTTAACATTGCACTAGTATGAATAAAAAAGTAAAATCGCAACTAATTACAATAATTTACCAAAATATTCATTATTGGCTGACGTAATAGTTATTACTTAATTTAAATATTTTACTGATCAAGTTAATTTTTAACCTTAACAGAAATACAATGTCACCACTATAATACATTACATAGGTATAGATTAGAAACCTAATCGTGTAATGCATACTATTGGTGGTACGTTGATCACTTGTTGTCTGTTGATACAAGAATTAAATAATTTGTTTATTTATTTATAAACGCTGATGAAATATATGCTCACTAATTACTAATTAACCGGCTGCCGTCTAACAACGAAACGATGAATAAACATTTTTTGATTAATTTATATCAGATATGTGAAAAAGATTGTTATGTTTTTCTATCTTACTTATCATTTTGCATACCTAGTTGCATTGTTTGTCATTAGTGGTAGATTTATCTATGCGACTGCACGTTATAGGTACACTCGATGTAAAAAAAAAGTTTGATAACCTCTGTATAGTATGTAGTATACATGATACATGTAATTATTATTTTATCATTTTAGAGTACCACAATAATAATTAATCAGACTATTTATAACGACTGTGAATTGTAATATTTATTTGTTTACTGGTTTAGGTACGTATAGTTTTTCGGCGAAGTAAGTTCCTATAATAGTATATGCTTTCCCCATAATACTTCCCTAAAATAACAATCTATCGTTTTAATGTAACATACCTGCCTAGTGCCCACAATAAACTGCGTGGGTAATGACTTTTAAATTCGTTCAAAAATCCGTATTACTACGTGCATAATAAATTATTACCATTGTGTATTATTCGATCGGCTTGGCCGTTTCACAATACCACCCAATCTGGCGGTGTATAAAATTCGTGTCGCCACGATTTATGTCATCGAAACCACTTGACATATAGTTATCCTATAGCTGGGTATTAGTATATACTATAGTGTATAATATTAGGTGGGATCGGCCCACACGAGACCGCATCGTTATAAGAAGTTTTACTAGTTAAACGACTTTTTTTTTTTTTTTTGATCCGAACATTATTCGTAGAAATACATAATTTTACGTTACCGCCTAAATAGTTTGTGTTTGTGAGTTTGACCGAATGAAACGTAGGTACCTACTGTTACGATGGCATAATCCGGAGTACTCTATTGGATACGTGAGTTACCACAAATCGGTTTTGTCTTTGGCCACGACTGAACGGTTGATACTACAAGCAGAGGTTTTACTTTTTTTATTTCGACGACAACAACAACAGTCACTACAACATTATGATTGCACGCTATACTTCGCGACTTTATTTCATCAACGAAAACCAAAAGGAATTTAATTCAAACTTCGTATTTACAGAGTTATTGTGTAGGTATACAAGCAATTATGCTTATTGCATATTATGATTAGATACGAAAACCGATTCCGCTAATCGGTACCCGCTGTACCTACAAGTACAAACCAAGACACCGAGTACTAATTTATCGCTGAAATAAAACGTCGTCGGCAGTCGGCACAGCTATCGGCATACGTTTAGGTATAATCTTACAGGTACTAGAAGAATAATTACCCATGTACTTGTAAACGGTAGTGTATTGTACTATTGTAATCACCCCAAGGTTTTATCCGTCCGATCTTAGTTGTTATTTCATACAATTATTCATTTCCTATTCATTTTTTGTTGTTTTATTGTTCATTCACTCTTTCACAGATTCACGCTACCGATGTACTAATTCCGTGTACGAACCACATGTTAATCATCTGTATGCTTATAATACGTACACATACAATAATATGTGTACTTGCGACTTGCCCATATATATGTTGAATTAGCTACCGGTTTTTCACTATTCAATTAGGTGTACATAAATATTGGTAATGTTTACTATATTATACAGGGTGATACACCAAGCATATTCACCTCCATTTTTACTTCAAAATAATTAATTGATTCAAATTCTGGCTTTTTGAACTTTTTAAATATACTTAAAAGCCATATTATCAAAGTCTTGAGATTTTTGTACTACCTATTTATGGAGTAGCCTGTGCCAATACAAAGTCTGTTTTTCAAATGAGAATACCCTTTTCTCTTTACTATACTGTAAATTGTTTAGTGAATAATTTTTGAAAAAATGTTGCTCGCCTAATACGAAATTCGAATGGGTAGTTTCTCAAATGCGCTTATTCCTATACTAAGGATACATCATTAAAAATGGGCTCACAAAAAGATAAAAATATATGTAATGTTGGATGTATTTATTATACTTGGGACCATTTTTGAAAACTATAAATGCTGATAGATTATATTAATTGCTTAAATTGTCCTTATCATTAGAGTCGCCATACCTTCCAAACCTATTATCATGAGCCTATTATTTCTAGTATACAAATACCAACTTTTTCAAAAAAATATCCAATAAAGTTTCACATTCGAAAATCCGAATAGTCTTCTTAAGTAAGTAGTAAAAACAGTAAAAAAAATTAAAACTATGATCTTTGAGTACATTCGAAAATTCCAAAAATAGTATTTCAAGCTGCTGCACAATTGAAGAAAAATAGGGGTGATAAGTGTACGTGCTTGGTGAACCACTCTGTATACGGCTCTAGGTGTTTACTTTATACATAACTTTATACCATGTATAATTTATTTTAAACTTGACCTATATACCTAATAAATTATGGTATGTACCTAAATTGTACATAATAATGCTGAATTCTTAAAATATTTGCATGAAACCTTTTCAAATTGTATAATATACCCCCTTAGATAACACATACAACAATAAGTCTAATACATGCCACAGGTAATAATAAATAACTCTGTATCCGGCAGTCGGCACCGCCACAATGTCAATAGCTTCAAAGTATGCGAGGTTCATATAGGCGTGTCTAGAATTATTTCGCATATCTGGCTAAGTCCCAATGTCCGAGAGTATTTTTCCGTGGAAATCTCTAATGAAATCAGTCCCACCCAACCATAAACAATGCTTAATGTTTTATTCGAGTTAATTGCTAATTCGCAGTTCTGGCCATTGGCCATTGCTAGAGTGAACCGACCCGTAAACACGCCTAATACCTATAATAAATTAATACTATTAAATACAGGAGTATTTCTTCTTTGATGAACATATTCGGTGGATATACAATGTAGTAATTGGTCTGTTACATCGTCGTATCGTCGCTAGCTTTTTTCAATCTATTTTTATCCTTTTTTATATTAAACAATCAAAGTGGACTCAATATAAGTCTCATATTATCTATAGTATGTATAGTACGTAGTATCTATAGATTCTATACTATTAAAGCACAAGGTGCTAATGCCATTTTCTTTGTGTAACAATACAATCTACGGAAATAATGATCGTGTCACGAAGAATCAACCAATTTCGTTTTTTATTTTTTATTAACAGAGGGAAATATTCTACAGCCCAAGTTGAGCTCAGTTTTGAAAATTTTAATTTGAAAATTTTTTATATGCATTTTTAAAAAAGCATCTTTTTACAAATTATTTTATTCCATTATTTGAATTCGGAGTTCAACGATGAGTGTTGCACAAAGTTTTTTCTTATTTCAGATAAAAAACTCACTATCAAAAGTTTACAATTCTACAAGTTTTCATTTTTGTTAATATAATGCACAGTACTAAATAGGTATTAGGCAGTTTATTAGTGGGGAATTATTAAAATTAAGGTGGCAACTAAAATTGTAAATAGAATTGTTGAAAATCGACACCGGATTACCCCGGACCCTTTAAATGTGATTTTTGTGTACTCGTCATAGAGGGGCATGGCCGGTTTCCGCCAAAAGTGTACCTTTCCCTTTTCCCCCAATTCACTTTTCCGCCAAATCATAAATTGTTCGATTCCCTTTTCCGCCAAAACTCTGCCTTTCCCTTTTCCCCCAATTCTCTTTTCCGCCAAATCAAAAACGTAAGTCTAGAATTTGAATAATGTTTGAATATTATATATAAAATATACAATATGTCAGTCAACAATATTTCGGTTCAAAAGAAGTAATAAATTCAATAGTAAGTTATAGTTTATCGAGAATGCGAACGGTTAGAAAGCGACTAGGCTGCGTACTATTATAGGTACAATAACGGTTGGTTTCGTACGTATCATACAACTGTCAACTGTAACAATATAACTGGTACAACAAAATAAAAACGAAATAATCCCGATAATCAGTGATAAATTTATCATTTGGTTCAAATTACGGTACGTTATAGAAATATATATCATTATAGTACAAACTTTTTAATGTATATAAAATAAAAATAAAATTATAATTTATAATATATTAAAAATATTTAAATTATACTAGACTAACTTTTTTGAATTAGCGGAAAAGAGAATTGGGGGAAAAGGGAAAGGCAGGGTTTTGGTGGAAAAGGGAATCGAACAATTTATGATTTGGCGGAAAAGTGAATTGGGGGAAAAGGTAAAGGTACACTTTTGGCGGAAACGGGTAACTCCCGTCATAGAGACGAGTGATGCAAACCATTATATTTCTACATATTATGTAATGTTAACATGTATGCATTTGTGGCGAGTGACTTACGATTCCGTTGCCGTTGGCGTCCCACAGTATCGCGTTTCCGTCTCTCCTGGCCGGACTGGACAGATATAGGAAGAACGTGTCGGCACATCGCGCAGCGCTACAGACACCTTTGATGTATCTGCGTATGTTTAGCTTGTCAGCCGGTTCGACGTTGTTAACGGTTGTCGAGCTGACGGTGCCATCTGCAACAGATAGGACGACGAAAGTGTTATAAGTACAAAACCAATACCCAGGCAATTATAATAATATGTACGAAGTGTAGAAAATGATTTAACGATAGGTTTAATGGTATTATGATGATTATAATGCGTAAGTAATGTAATGATCATTTCACGAGAAGGATCGAAAACGTTTTATATATTATACGATAAAATAGTTACTCACCGTCGTCCATGCTCATGTTTATGCCGTTGGCGAAAAACGTACGAATGTTGTTCTCGGCGAATCCCCAAGAAATGAGTCGGTCCTTTAACGACATCAAGTCATTCATTGTAACAAAGTCAGCCATGTTTCGGCTCCAGCCGCCGAACAACATTACAGCCTTACAAAAACAGAGTACGTAATGTTGATTGTGTTGACAAGATGTTCGATTTCATAACTGCATTATTAATTATTAATTGTTTCGAATATACCTATGTGTCTAGAAAATTAATAATCGCTCGGTTCGTCGTTTCTATATATAATATATCTCTAACACGTCTTTTGGTGTAGGCAACTTACAAGTAACAGGTAAAATTAAAACGACTTTTCTTGTGGCAAGAAAACTTATCCAGAGACATAGATACTAAACTAGTGGTTTTTATATTACTATTCAATCGTCCATGTGTGTACAGTGTACAATGTACATGTCCTAAATTACCTACGACTAATATATGGTTTAAGTACACAGACAAGGGCAAATTCCACGACGTACGTAAGAATGATAAGGGTGATAGCTGTCACTATGAATACATGGTTAAAAGTAGAAAAATAGTTTAAAATACATATATATTACAATTTTTTAGGATATATTTTTGATAATTTTCTTTAAATTCGGTTATACTCGGCCGTTTTTAAATTCAAGCAGTGTTGGGGAGATAATTTTAATACACAAAGATTTTTACTCATTATTACTTATGATTAATATATATCTGTGTTATTCACCTGGTTGACCGGTTTCTGCGAGGAACACTTGTAGTTGCCTCTGGTGCAGCCCCTATTGTTGGTCTTCAGGTGGTTGCATTCGTCGGATAGCTCTGCACCGTCATCTCGAATCCGCGGGCAGTTCATCAAGAACGTGTCCTTGCTATCCACGCACACGAGCAAGTTGTCGGCCTGCAGACGGTCGCTTCGGGTGGGCACCACCATTGGCAGGAACTTGACCTGGCAGTCCCACGATGACGTCATTGGACGCTCGTTGCACCAGCGACTGCGCACCATTTGAATGCACGCTGTGGTGTTATCGCTCAACGCTAAACGGGATCGAAAAGATATAAATCAACACGTGTTACACGATCGTCATCAAATTGTATTCTTGGAAGTACGTAAGTCACATAACCCTACAATATACATATTATTGTCCTAATCGTTACATTTTTTCCACACATCTATATCTTGGGGTGCGTAATAAACCTATAGACGGTAGTTTTGACTTTTTAGTGTGCAAGTTGCGGTTTGGGGGCTGATAGGTGGAGTAGATCAGTGACATTGAGAAAAATAACTGTGAGTGACTATATTATATACTCCATATTATTATGTGTGTGAACTAAACGCCCCAGCTCCTTATATGTATCTAAAATTCAAAAACTAGTTTGGGTTAGTCCTTCCTATTAGCGTTACCCGGTTGGACGTTGGCTTGAAAGTCTCCTAAATATTTTTGTTTTCGTTTCTCTGATGAATACAATTATTTATTTTTTTATAGTATTTATATTAATACATAATTTACAATTTTTTTGTGAATAGTTTATTAATATTTTACATAGTTAGATATTTAACAACATTATAGCCAATTAAGATTAAATATTAAGATTACCATCTGTTGTGACCGCTGATCCAATTCAAATAGGTATTTAATTTAATAAAATATTTAAATTGAGTACCACAAAGTTGAAATTATAAATATTATATTAAAAAAATTATCTGTACCTAGATACGTTTCTCAATTTGTGTTTTCGGAAATTCACAATCTAGTTTTCTACTTTCTAATGTAAGTACTTTCTAATATAAATACTAAATTATGATTGTCACTTGTCAATCATCACAACACCTGATTTTTACCACTTGGATTAATCTCAGATTTCTATTGAAACGCAGACGATTTCAGAAGGGTCCTTGTTATATAGGTAGTACATTTTTTTATCACGTTACACTTGAGTAGAGTATTGATGGTGTACAGGACGATAATATCACATACACAAACACCAAGTGTAATAATAATAATTTTGGCAACAGATTATACATGTGATGTTAATAAGTTATTATAATTCACGAAAACTTAAGAGGGGGGTAGAGCCTCCCTCGAGTTGGTAACTACTGGATAAAATCATATCCCCCCCTCCCAAGACAAAAACCTATATACTCCACTGATACATTCATATATATATATATATATATATTATATGTATTATTACGCCGATACCTATATAGGATATGTTAATAGATTATGTTCGGCGCCGTATAGGTCAGCAGAAATTCATCAACCAATGAAACGATCATTATCCGGCGATATTATATTCTACTTAAGTGAAAAATCGCATAACAAAATACGAAACAACGTCAGAACTCGGAGTATAAAGGACGATTATAGTCCTAACCAAATTAAAGGGGCTCTGCCGTGATGGAAAATCGTTTCATAGCTCATTAGTCATTATTGTTATTATAATTTATGGTATTGAAAGGCCACACGGTCGAGAGCTGCTATATTAGGTTGCAGTTAACGAAATTGTTGGTACATAAGTACCACACTTTAAGTATATTGATAATATATTAAAAATTATAATATTATACGTATAAACACTGCCCGCTTGTTTTATTATGACTGTAAAAAAAAATGACGACGCCTCCTCACTGTAACCTATGTATATATACCTACGCTCATAATATTGGTATATACCTGATTTGTGGCCAATATAACGACGCGTGTTCTGACCGCTTGTCGCCACTGGTGGTGTCCGGCCACCGTCGAAACTCTGGATGATATAATATGGCAACTACAATATTATTATTATATTTTACGCGTCATGTTTTCACGAGAACAAGATATTATCGATCACTCCCGGTATATTTTATTGTTTTCTAGCTGTCACAGGTGTATCGTTAGTCTGTTTGTTAGTGGAAAAAATAAAATTTATAGTATGATAATTGAAACCATAAGATCGTATCGGGCACACGTAAACGATGCACGTAAAAGCGATAAATTTAGATTTCATTTAATATAACATATATGGCTACTTATATAGTCATTTTTTTTCTTGAGCTTTTCGTTTAATAAATTCCACTCGATGCTTAAATGATAAAATATAACGAATAACTTCAAGATCCGATAAATTATGTGCAGCAGAGATAGACATGGTGTTGTATGTGTGGTCGTTAATTATATTTTTAAATACGTTTTGGGCCTTGTCTTAAAAATTAACCTGTAAGGCTGTAAACGGTTTTCGATATTTATTGAAAGGCCATTTGAGTGTTATGAAAATAATCTATATACACATCAATATGTATGACTGAATATAGTTTCAAAAGTCTGCGGACATTACAATATTTATTACATTTAAAAAAAAAAACTTAAAATAACAGTTCCCCAGAAAATGATATACAGAATTTAGTCGAAATCGTTACTTTCCATGTCCCACTCCTTATTTTAATATTTACTATTCACAAATCTGAAAGAGTATAAAAATTAGATTACATCGTTATTAAATACTAATTAATTGATGTTATTTATAGGTATGAAAAATAATCAGTTTAATATTAATCATAAATCAAATAAAAGTTGTTTACAAATATTATATTTGGGCCATTAGTAAGGGCGGTAGGTAAAAATGTTTGCGGCACACGTAATACAGAATTATTGCTTGCGCCTATGGTCATAATAATTTGATTAGGTGTTGATTAATCGATGATTAATTAGATAAAAACTATGAATTAAAGTTATTATAATAGCTATCAGCTTAAATCCATAGGTATTATATATTGCGCGTGAATAATGAATATTGTTCATGGGTCAATGGATTTTTACGTGACATCTCGTCTGATATTTTAAAATTAATTGTACGTACAATGATAATAAATGGAAATAAATTGGTACCAGTTATCGAATATATTCCTGTCTAGACATCGAAATTATACGTGAAACTATTTAATTAAACTATTGACCTTTGGCGCCTTCTATGTATTATTTTTACATCATTTAACGTTTATCAGCCATACCTATACGTAAAACCATTCAGTATTTTCAATTAATTTTATTATTGTGCAATGTTTTCAAATTTTATGAATTTTACTGATAATTTTCTATTATATATCGAATAAAATGAAATAAACGTACCTATATAGAACAAACGCCAAACGGTCTAGAAACCTTCCAAAAAATGTACAACAGCCTATAGTGTTCACTTCTCTCATATCGACCGATGGAGTAAGTAATTATTTACAATAAAGTTAATTGATATTTAAGTTCAAACCATGATAAAAAAAGTGATGAATCCTAAAAGTTAGGTAATCATAAAAAATAATCTATCTGATTTAAAACGTATTCAATCTTCAATCAAAATATAATATATAATAAATATAAAACTAACAAATTTTTGATGAACTTATTTATTTTCAATAATTATAGGTCATCATATTATATTCTAAGTATTTCACTGCAATACTGCAACATTTTTCGTTTATTAGTTTTATTAATTTTCACCCATACAACATATTACGATTAGATTTTTTTAAATGTAAAATATTATTATTTTGAAAATTACATAATTATAAATTTAACTAAGTGGGAGCATATTTACTACGCAGTCTTGTCATATTTGAAAAATCTCTTTGTTATTCGAAAAGTAAAATGACGTATGCAATCGCGTTTCCAAGAAACTAAATATTCTTAAATGTATTATTTAACGTCATATCTGGATAATGAAATGTTGTCAAAAATTGAATCCATCCGAAGTATTCCAAAGTTAAAGAATGCTATAATGAAATGAATCTTACATTTTAGGTAAATTAATAAATTATTGTATACCACTAGATTTGTATAAAATAAATGTAGTTATTTACACATATCTGTATAATAAGTAATAAACTAATAACTTATTAGGTTATACTGTAAAGCGTGTAAGGTATACACCAGGTATATGATAGGACGTAAGTCCGCTCATATTTTTATCACGTCTTTCGTATTTGATATCTTATTATGTCTACGAAATCGCATAGTGTTATCATCAATACGTAATATATTTGCTCAAAAATTGTGATAGTTAAAAAATAATTGAATTTGAACAATATTATTACATTTACATAGTTTTAAATTGTTAAGGCGTTTGGGGTACCAATAGTTAATACGAATGTATATTATGTTGCCTATCTAAATCCTGAAATATTTAATATCGTTTTACTCGAAAAAAATATTGGAACGACGCGCGACGGCACGAGTGCACTTGATGCATGGACAAGCATGGTCTTAAACGTATTTCACAGTATTATTATTTTTTAGGAGAAATTGTTTTTTATAGGATTATGACAAGTGAAATAAAGTTGTGGCCATATAAAACTATCAGTAATTAAATATCCGTAAGATAATTAAAAACTATATGTCTACATCATTCACAATATAACCAAATAACGATTGACGAATAAAGATCTATAGAATGATATTACATAGACACTGATACGATGTAGTACGATATCTAACATATTTTGACAGTGCCTAATGAATGTATAGAAGATAATTTGATTAGTGATAATGTGCTTTTTATATTTTTTGATAGTTAACTCAATAATTGTATGTATTAAAACAGAATGAAAAAAAAAGGGAACGTGGTTAACCTGTCGGTTGTACAACCGTATTGAGTAGTTTCATTCAATAAGTCACTCTAATGCATGTGATCAATTTGAAATTTGAATTCAATGATAAACCACTGCAAACGAAAAACGATTCTTAGCGAAGACTAGGCTTTATGCCAAGTATATTTCATGAGATGTTTTGGGATATTGCCATTAAAGCAATTTATTTTACTATTAATATTACTGTGACCGATAGGCACCTAAATTAAATTTTTTCCGAAAATATTGCATTTATTATTAATAATTATTAATAATAATAAAATATGTATAATATTTATTACTATCAATATTTAACTGTTAGGGTATTTAATATTGTTTACTACACAGTAATAGTTATTTTTAGAAGGTTACTTTTCCTAATAATTGGAAAAAACTGAAAATTGATTTTCTTATTTGTCAATATTTTAGCTACAAT